TTTGTATTTGAGTGAAGGTCGAATATACAAAGTGAAATCAATGGCAATAGATATTGCAGCAGTAGGCAGCGGCTTAGCTGTGAATCTGGCATTTATGATGTCTATGAGCGATGCTGATCACCCACCGTGGTGAGCCGTATACTCTATCTGTCTCTATCTGTCTCTATCTGTCTCTATCTGCCTCTATCTGCCAATAACAAATAAAAAAACACTAAACGAAACTTTGGCTTTGAAGTCATTCTAGAAGAGCAACCATCATCTCTGCATGTGGTAGCGCAATAGATGATAGGTCGCATAGTTAGATAGATGCCTTTGGTATCGCAATAGAACCTCTGAATGCTCAGCAGCCTTTTTTGAGTATTATGCCGGTGAACTGCGATCGTCAACTAGCAATTCATGATAGTTCTGTCTATTTATACCGGGAAGCAATGTTGCGTTCCTATTTGATGGTTCCTAGGTGAATCAGCTATACAATACAACTGAAACTTCTATCTCACCTAATATTCCATTACGAATTACTTCCACGGTGAATGAATAATGAAGATCGAACTTGCAAAATTTACCATTTCTTTAATTGGTGGTAAGGTACCTTGTAAACCCGCACGGGTAGGTATCACCACCCTGCCTATTTCTGCCGTATAGCTGTAATGCATTTCGTTTGAAGGGTGGGACAGCCTTTACACAGTAAAATGGACACTTACTACTCACTTGTGAGTAGTGTAATTTATGTTGATGATATCTATGGGCTCCGGTAAACACTTAACATCAGACCGTAAGCTAGTTCATCTTTCTACACAGTGAAATAAATAAAAACTTTATACACTGTATTAAACAATGTATACCTACAAACGCACTTCTGTTAAAGTTTTATAATGGAATAAATCAATATAGAATTCAATAGTCGCTTTGCCGTGAGTCATTCAACGTATATTTTTGTAATTGACATGATAACGCAGATAACATTATAAGTATAATACATAATAGTTATCTGCATATGTGATGAGTGAGTTCAGTGGCTATCAGCCTGTCGTGACCCGGATACTGCTTGCAATTGCATTTCATATTATTAAAGCGTTGCGTTATAACCGTTAGTCTTACAGTGCTTAATAAATGATCTCTCATATTAAGCTTGTTAGTTGTAATACTTACTTACTTACTGGTGGTAGGACCTCTTATGAATCCGCGTGGGTAGGCACCACCACCACCACCACCAGCAGTAATGCGTTTCGGTTTGAAGGGTGGGGCAGCCGTTGTAACTATACTTGAGACCTTAGAACTTATATCGCAAGGTGGGTGGCGCATTTACGTCGTAGATGTCTATGGGCTCCAGTAACCACTTCACACCAGGTGGGCTGGGAGCTCGTCCAGCCATCTAAGCAATAAAAAAAATTAAATTTTTTTTTATGGAAAAGTTGTGAAACCACTTAGAGGTTCAAACCTCTGTATCTTGCCGACCGACACGTATGTGAATAACATTATTTTATCTTTGTCTCTCTTGAGCTAGATCTAACCTCTATTCCTTTGGAATTTCTCGATCCGTGGTTTTATATTTTTCACTTATCTTTATACGTTTTACATTTTGTCGTAAATAAGCATAAAATACAGAGAATATCTTGATAACTGTGCTGATAATGGTTTTGACGATAAATCCATTACGTCATCGATGTAAGTCAAGTCTGTTCTGTTCAGAGCCGATGGTTCTTTGTAAGAAGGGCAAAGATTATCAACCGCTTTTGTTATCTCTGAACGAAAATGGGAGATGTTGGCAAAAACTGAACCGAAAAGCTGAGGTCGAAGACACAAATCAGTCTATATCTAGAATACAGCATGTATTTATCTACTGTTTTATCATGTGCTTTGTTTACAAATATCAGGTTCTTGACCTTTCAATTAATTACAGTTGAGTATGTCAAATGGTACAGTGGGTATAGTTTGTTTTATAAACTGAGGATTCGTTTCCCGAATCAAATTACACACCGAGTAATGAAAAGAGCGAGTTGAGATTATTTTTATCGGATTTAAATTTCCTAGAAGTTACAGATGACATAATGACTATTAGTTATAGTGATAACTAGCTGTATCCATCCGCTTCGCTGGGCATTTAACATTAACATTATTATTTCTCACTCCCACAAATATTCTCATCATTAACGCCCCACAACTGGTGTAGGGGGTCCAACACTCATATAAATATTAGCCTATCCATTAAGTACATGTATTTTCTACACGGATACCAAGTTTCAAGTCAATCGGATGCATGGTTCAGTAGTTATAACGGAACATCCGTAAAAACCACTGTAGATTTATATATTAGTATAGATACTTATATAGTATTCTTGTATATTCACAAAATATTAGAAGCGCAACTCCTGTTTTCCAATAGCTTACTGACAAATAAATCGTTTTTTTGTTTGTAACACGGCTGCAGCGAAACCACGAGTGTTGTTTTTAATAACACTTAATTACAATTGCTCAAGTCAGCGACACGAGAGTCGCTGGGTGGCCCACTGCCGTACAACGCAATCGCAATAGTTACATGTTACTCAACGTAGTTCTGTCGATCTTTTAAGAGTGACTGACATCCCTGACACGAATGGTATCATAGCAATTATCGTTTGAAAACCTAAAAAAAAACACGCTATATACTTGTACTTCAAGAACCTGTTACGTTAAATGTATTGAGCTCCACCTTGTAGTTTTTCATCCATGATCCAGGCAGTCCGATAAATCACCCCTATTAGTTTTATTATAGTCTGTATTTTATATATACATATTTTACATTTAGTTAGAAATTGATACGACAAACGGAGATCGGCTAGAATCGACTTCCAAGAATTGTTTAACTTCGTTACGATTTCATGGAATAAATAGTAAATAATGAATACAAAAAAAATGTGATATTAAAACGGAGACCATTTCTCGTGACACGTACCGTATAGTATACCGTATAGTTAAAGTGCTACTAATAATTAGAAAAAAGATAACGATTGAATACTTTGAAAGAGATTATTGTTTACAGATTTTCTTTGGTACACGGTTTATATAGTGAAGCTCTCAAATATATATTATTAAGCCAATCTAAAGTAATGCGGTGTCATCATTTATCTAATCTGTAAAAGGAAAATCATAAGACGGAACTTCTCATTCTAGAATCTAATTTATCAAAGAAATCTGTATTTTTACAAGACGACTTTACTTTGAAACTGTAAGTGAAGTAAGAAAAACTTTATCAATGAATTATGACAATAACAGCGTACAGTAATATCGGTTATTATAATTTCCATTGTTTTTCTTAAATAAAACAAAACTCGTTCATCATTATGATAACAAACACAGATTGCAGGAGGCCAGCTTGAAATGTCAATATTATTTTTTCACACATCACTATCGTAACGAACACACCTACTGATGTTTATTAATCAGACAAAGTTATTTTTTTTTTTTTCATAATAATTGATGTACTGACGATAGAGCGAACTACAAGTCTTCACAATTTTTTTTCCTACTTAGCTGAGAGCCTTGAGAGGCTATTTCAGCGTAACTTTAACTAGTAGGTGAGCTGACGGGGCTCAAACCTGACGACGTTGCTAACACGAACCCTAGCAAGAGCCGTGCTTCGCAGAATCTACCACCGGATCGGTAACACGACCCAGTGAAAAGATCCGGCGAGAAACGCAGTGGGCTGTTTCTGAGGGTTAATTTATTCGTCGAGCCCTTCGTCGCAAGCGACGGGTTCGATGAGAACGATGACCGGGTCTTCACCAACGTCCAGCCTATTTCTGCTGTGAAGTAATATGTGAAGTTTTCCAGTTTGATGGGTATGATAGACGTCACACAATATGTATGACATCGACTTCATTGCACGAATTTTGAGGAAGGAGCATGTTGGCTGTGAGCACACTGCCCATTTCAGCCAAAAAATTACAGACATGATTCAAAAATTAATCAATCAGATGTTTAAATCAGTTAAGTTATTTACAGCAAAATTTTCATTTAGCTTTGTGACAATGATTATTGTATGATTAAGCATTTAATGAGAACAACTTTGGAGGAAGTTGACAGAGTTTTGATGAATACGTATGAAGATGAACGAAAATGAGAAATGCTCCCTCCTGAGAAAAAAAAATTTAGGGAAATAGGTAGTATTTGCGTCATTTTTCTCTGTTCCATTCTCTGTTCAATCTTCAAGAAGAAAATCTATAATTCTATAATGTAGTAATATCTCGTAACTCGATTTGCTTAGCGGTTCTTCCCCCCTTAAATTCAAATTTGTACTTAGGGCGAATGAAAAACATAACATTTTACTTGGAATAAAGCTTTGTTTGTGTCGCGTCCATAAAACACCATTCAACTTATACATATCTATATATTCGTTTGTCAGTACATAAAAACATGAAGCAGCGACACTATCGTATTTACTATAGCAGAAGTGCTCTGCATTGCCTGGTTCATGTTACCATGATAAAAATTTCCAATGTGTCAATTCGTAATCGAGATAAATTATTTTTTCGCAAAATATAATAGTTTCAAGAATGTCGTTATTTTTATTTTACTTTAGGTCTACTAGTCGTAGGTATCTAGGTTGTGAGCACATATCACAGATTGCACGGATTAAATTGTTTTTAGTGTAATCTCGACTAAATACCTACCGGTTGATGTACAAAACAAATCACAATCATTACGGTAAATTACATATTAACTAAATCGTACAAATAGTACCTAAGTCTGAGCTGGATTGTAATCTAAATGATATAAGCAAACCCGTATTAATGTACATAGCGAGCGAGCCTCCAAATTGCCTATTGAAAACAAAATTACAAATTACAATCTCTGCTGCTCTTAAAACTTTGATCTCATATCTTAACGCTGGCGGTATCGCGTTGTTTATCTGTGGGCTTCGTCAACCATTTCACTCTAGAAAAGCCTTAGTTATTTTATTTTACGAAAAAAAAAACCAATGCGTATTATTTAATATTTATAAAATAAATTTCCATTCCCAGATGAGACGCGTGGCAGAATTTAAACGCGATAATGCACACTTGTTAGATGGACTACTTCCTGAACACGAGAAGGACGCCTTTCTAGACCATAAAGTGGTGAATGTGATGAAAGGTCGCGACAATAAGGGCAGAAGAGTTTTAATCGTTAGTGTTGGAGGTGAGAATCTGAAACGAGTAACGTTCGTCTTTATCAGTTGACCTAGTTGCTAATAAATTAAATAAATAAATTATTTAGTCAGACATCGACTTGGATCTACGCCTGGCATTGCTGAATTCCATGGGCAAAGTTAGCAGGCTAAAGTGGCAATGGGCCGGTCACATCTGTCGAGCCAGCGACGCCAGGTGGGGGAGGAAAGTCCTCGAATGGAGGCCACGGATGGGTACCAGGAGCGTGGGGCGTCCTCCAACCAGGTGGACCGACGACTTAGTGCGCACGGCGGGAAGTCGTTGGATGCGGAAGGCGGAGGACCGCATTATGTGGAAGGCATTGGGGAAGGCATATGTCCAGCAGTGGGTAGATAAGGGCTGATGATGATGATGATGATGACGATGGGCAACGGTAATCACTCACCATCAGGTGGGCCGTATGCTCGTCTGCTTACAAGAGTAATAAATAAAAATTACTCAATAATTGTGACTCGATCTTCGATTTGGATTTTAATGAATCAATTTATTCGTTCGTGATTAAAATTAAGCCGGTACCTAAACAAGAAGGTTCGTTCACGCTGGACATAGTTAAGAAAAGCATTCTCCATATAATCTAAGCTGAATGAAATGTTTTTAAGGTTCATGGGACCCGAAGAAAGTAAACGCAGATCAGCTGTTCAGACTGTTCTATTTGATCCACTTGGCCGCCATACTGGAGCCCGAGTCGCAGGTCAAAGGCACCGTTGTCATCATGGACTTCTACAACATGGGATGGACACAGGTGAATACTTTATATATTTGTTTAAAGGCTATGTGTATCATCAAATAGGGTGACTCACTCAATCCATGGACTCCTCCATATGTAACAACAAACGTTTACGAACGCTTATTTCAAGCTCGTTTTTTTGGAATATTTTAATTAATGATTAGTAGGTCCTATTTCAGGACCGCAAAGGTTGGATAGGTACCACCGTTTTGTCTATTTCTGCCGCGAAGAAGTGTATGTGAGTAGCAATATGTTTTCGTTCGATTGTATATTTTATTACCTAATGCTTCTGTTTTGGATTGTAATTGTATGTATACTCTGTTATTATCTAAGTCGTTATTGTATTTGTAGTCTCAAGGTGAGTGGCGTTAAAAAAATGGCGGTGTCTATCAGCGATGGTAATTATTTAATACTTAATGGACTGAGACCTCATCGCCCTAGCTACAGAAAAAAAAAAAACTTGAGAGGTGTCAAGGGACACCCGGATGGAACGAAGTTCCTTTCGATTAATTAGTGAAGGAATTGTAATAAAATTTTATTTTTTTTAAGTTATAAGAATATTTTTTTTATTATTAACAAATATAATGTTATATAAACTTAAACAGTAATATTTTATAATAAAAAAAAAATTGTACATATACATAAATATAATTGTATGAGAGAGAGAGAGACAGAGAGAGAGAGACAGAGAGAGAGACAGAGAGAGAGACAGACAGACAGACAGAGAAACATGCAACGCCGCACAGCTTACAATAGCTTACTATAGCAAAAAGTGTCGTGACAACTTTTCGTAAGAATTTTTTCCGTCTAGCCCCCTTTCACAACGCGCGATAAGGAACTTCGTTCCAAAAACTGGCAAATCATTTATTGCATTAAATCATTAAGGTCATTTCACATAATTACGTAAAAGCTACGTTGGTTTCTATATTTGATATTATTATCGAATAATAATTATTATTTAAAAGATTAATTCAAATAAATTCTTTTTGGAAAATATGTAGCGGAATGTACTTTCAATGTACTAAAAGAGACACAATCACACTTCTTGATCTGCAAAATCATTCAGTACAGAGCAGATATTTCAAATGCATTCATGTTTGGGTAAATTAATAATTATTTCTAAATTTTATTCCATCGAACGATAGTTATGCATCACTGATTGCTTAATTTTCAACACTTCAGTTTTAATGTAGATTTCGAACGAATATTAAAAAAAGAAGAGTTCGTTGTTTTAATTTTGTCAAAACTTCAAGTTCCTTTGTGTTGTTTGTAAACAATGACGAGTGATTAGTTTGGCTGATCTTCAAATCGGTTTTAATGTTACGTTTCAAAATGTAATTCGCATTCAAATAATAGGATAGCGTAAGAATTAATGTTTGTAAAAATTTAAACGGAATTTATTACAGCAGCCCATTTCGATTCAAAGGATCACTAATTTCCCGCTAATAGTACGAAAATAAAATCAAGTTATTCTAGTGTCAAAATTTGTAAATCCAAGTAGGATCCATCATTGTTACCCGTACCGTGCGTGTCTTTAAACAATGTTATAGAATTTTAAATGCTTCCTGAATTTGACAATCAAGGTTGATCGTATGCTAAAAATGCGACAAATCGTTTGGAAATTTCACAACAGGTACCTTATGAACGTATAAATGTATAAAGGCGATATATAATTTTTAAAACCATTGTTTCATTAGTATTATTTTCAAGTGAATACAATAAAATGATGCCGCGGAAATGCGTGCTGTGTTTATGTACTTAAATGAGTCATACAAAGTGCCCTAACAAAGGTGAGAGGTACCTAGCCCAAAGTGCAATAACACAGAAAGGCGTGTGTTTGTTTGCTTGCCGAACAAAGAAATTAACAAATACTTTGTTCTCAACGTGTCAACGATGTCTCTGTTCATTGTTCGGCTCTTATCTTTGTTTATGTTAGGTTACAAAATATTTAAGTGCCGTATACTATATACAACATGTAGAGAACATTATGTTGTCTCAACGAATTGAATATGAGATTTTTTAAGTAATTTTGATCTTATTTGGATTTTATGAATAAAATATCCATATAGATTAAAATAATAGGTAATATCTTTAGAACTGTTGAGAACATTGACACGATTGTTTTATAAACCAAATATGTAAATATATTCATTAAAATCTACCTATTGTCAAATCTAAGCCTTGGTCTAGTTACAAAAGTTCTTATAACTAATTGGAATGCTAGTTTCCATTATTTTCAATGAAGGTAATTATTTCTATTTTACGTTTCTATCATTGTTTTATATATCAGCTTATCAGTTTTCAGCTCTTTATTAATTGTCTGATGAAACATTTTTCACAATATCTATCTCAATATGGATATCTTTAAACTTAAAAGTCTATATTAAGTCCCTAAACCTTGTGTATTAACTAAATTGGTATAATGTGTAAGGTTAATGTTTATCTTTCTATTATTCATACGATTTGCTGAAGACTAATATAATCATATCCGAGTTGTGGCTGGTCATCATCTTTTTTTATTGCTTAGGTGGGTGGACGAGCTCACAGCCCACCTGGTGTTAAGTGGTTACTGAAGTCCATAGACATTTACGACGTAAATGCGTCACCCAACTTGAGATATAAGTTCTAAGGCCTCAAGTATAGTTACAACGGCTGCTCTACCCTTCAAACCGAAAACCTTATTTATCTATTCCGTGTTAGTACCCTACCCACGCGGACTCAAAGAGGTCCTACCACCAGTAAAAATAGCAATGGCCAGTTACAAATTTCATTAATGCGAAATCATAATGTACCTTAATATTAATAAATTAGAAAGTATATAACAAAGTGATTATTTTATTTCCAATATTAAGCACACAGCATTGGTATCGATAACATTGAAACATTTTAAATATTCGATATTTTGTTTCTATTTACTAATTTTAGTGTAAATAAAACTCTTTATAACACGATTATACTAATAGAAATAATGCATAAGAATATTTAATCTTTTGTCCTTCTTTCATATTGTGGCGTAGTTTTATTTATTGTTAACATTGATTTTATAGACTCATAACATGGTATGTTTGTCTATTTTAGAACTACATACATACTTAATGCGGTCATAAAGTAGGGGATACGTAATTCAATATAACGAAAATTTTCATATAATGTATCTTAAATTAAATTCCATTAGTTGATATATTATTACTCAAGCCCCTTTCTCTTCATTTTGTAAATAAGAGGTCATTATTAAAATTTCTATTAATAGTCGTTAGAGGTAAAAGTAATATACGATTTGAGAATCTCCTTATTTTTAAATGAAGTCAACTAATGAGAGAGAGAGAGAGAGAGAGAGAGAGAGTATTCTTTATTGTACACCAAAAAACAATTAAACAGTGCGATACATTAAACACAAAACGTACAATTGGCGGTAATGAAAGAAATAAACAATAAAGTTTTCCAGACAAAGATTCAGGCAGATTAGGCCAGATTTAGGCATTGCTGAAGTCCATGGGCGACGGTAACCAATCACCATCAGGTGGGCCGTATGCTCGTCTGCCTACAAGGGCAATAAAAAAAATTGATCACGCATTACAGTGAGCAATTTAGTTTAATTAATTCTTTGAGAAAGGAAAAAACGTCAAGGAAACAATTACAAGTGGAAACGCAACTCGTAACGCGTTTTAATTTGAAGGAAAATGGTTCACTCAAGGGACATCACGTACTGCCCAACATCTATTTGTTTCGATGATGCAACCAATCTCATTGTAACTGTGACCGATACGTAGGTGCTGATTAAATCGCTTATCGCGATAATTTCTTTGTGGATTAAGATTGGATTTTAGAAAAAATATCTAAATAACAATTTAAAAGTATTATTTTGGTAAATCGTGATAACTTCATCGAAGATTGTATCTAATTTAATAATTGAAAAACATTTGAATTAGTTTTTTGTATTAAGAACGTTCGCGCGTTGTTTATCAAGCGCAACTGGTGGTAGGACCTCTTGAGAGTCCACGCGGGTAGGTACCACCACCCTACTTATTTCTGCCGTGAAGCAGTAATGCGTTTCGGTTTGAAGGGTGGGGCAGCTGTTGTAACTATACTTGAGACCTTCGAACTTATATCTCAAGGTGGGTGGCGCATTTACGTTGTAGATGTCTATGGGCTCCAGTAACCACTTAACACCAGGTGGGCTGTGAGCTCGTCCACCCATTTAAGCAATAAAAAAAAAAAAAATCTTATCAGTGTGCTTAGTGCGAGTTTTTTAACGTTCTCGATATCGAAAAAGTTAACTCTAATTTGTGTGCAGTTGGAACAGCGCTCGTAGCGGCAAACTTAGGCAAACGTTCCAACTCCATACAAATTTGAGTTAAGTTTTTCGATGTCGAGAACGTTAAAAAACTCGCACTAAACATGCCCTAAACACACAGAGTAGTCCTGAAAAAAATATTGTGTTTTTAAAGATTTTCTCAGAATCTCACTCAGTTCCTCATAAAAGTCCAAGTAGGTTTCAATGGATATAAGGTAACATTCATTTTCCGCTGCTCTGGTTCCGGCCATACTTTACATTGCCATTTTAGGAAGTAAGTATTTAAAATAGTGTTAGAAGATCAATATTTTACGCAAACTTCCGGCCTTTGTCAAATTTTTGTAACGTTGAAGGAAACAGATTGTCCTTGACGCCTCAAAAGGAACGCTCAACAAGCATCATTAGGTAAATGCTGTAAATTGTCTAAAGTTATGGTTAATGTCGTTTAACTAAATCTTATTTTAGTACCTTTACTTAGGTTTGAACCACCGTATAGCTCATCTTGATACATTATATACCCTTTAATTACTGGTGGTAGCAATAAAAAAAAACACTTGACGTCTCAATAATATGATATGCACGCTTACAATATGATTAAACTTATTTTTCAATAGAATTGTCATTTCTATGTGCCTAAAAACTCAGCCATTTTCAATTTGTTCTATGTATCATCCTCTGCGGCTTGCCACAATTAGGTCGTAATGATAAACAATCATCTTGACAACGAAGATCTATGACACTAGGTAATATAATGCTCCAATTAAAATAAGTACTTAATACGAGAACTATATAGTTACAGAATTAATTAAAAACATACTAGTGTTTATCTATCTCGAGTTCAGATTAATTACGCGGATATACTAGCTTTGATCAGGTTTCGAAAACAACAATATTTACATATAGTAAATGTACAAACAACTTATCTTGTTGGTCCTAACATTTATTGAAGCTGTTGTCAACACGTCTATCGTTTTGTTATCTATATGTTTGTTAAATAGATTTATTATATAACATTTATTTAATTAATCACGTGACTACTTAATTTGTATTCTAGTCCAAGATTTAGGAGCCGTATTGGGTTTAGCAATTCCGGAGCTGATATATTTATTAACTTTTATGATTGCTTATCTACCCACAACTTTCAGAAAAAAATATCTCAGAACTCTTGGATATTGATAGGAAGCAAAAAATATCTGCTCAATGGAAATTTATGAAATATAAATCATAAATAATAAATAAAATGAACCGTACAAATCTCCATAGAAGTTTTTTTAAAAAAGCGTGAAATAATTACTTTATGTATTGATGATTTTTTGTTGTTCTACGCCTTTTTCTAAGTCTCGTATTTTCTTGAGTTAATATATTTGTAGTTGACTTAATTATCGCGACAGTATCGCCTCTTCTTATTGAGCTACTAATTCATTCACCAAAAGTTTTGCTTAATTGATATCAAACACATAAACATATATTGAGCCAATGCTTTTTATTTTATTTTCAAAAGACAATTATTTTGTTACTAGCTGACCCGGCAGACTTCGTAGTGCCTCAATCGATAAATAAAAGACCTAAACTTTTTTATAAAATAAACTTAAAAAAAAAAACAAAAGGACTCCATTCGACGGGGGAAACATCAAAGGAAAAACAAAATTGTTTTTTTATATAATTCCGAGCAATTTTCATATTTTTTCACCTTTTGAACCTTCTCTGGACTTCCACAAATAATACAAGACCAAAATTAGCCAAATCGGTCCAGCTATTCTCGAGTTTTAGCGAGACTAACGAACAGCAATTCATTTTTATATATATAGATGATCAAGGTTATTCAGCAAAGGTGCAAGATCTGATAGAGATTCATGTAATGTTTTCTTTGTTACCTGTGAGTCTGCGAGTCGCAAGACTAAAAGAAAACTTAATTTCTATGTTAGATTACTAAATACTATTAGAATTATGCAATTAAGTAGGAAGTTGTGTTCTAAAGATAACCACAAGCAAGATTAGTTGCGGAAGTAGTGGGAATGTTTATCAATCTTTCGAACCCATCGTATCGAAATCAATTTAGGTACAGCATGAAACATTTTACGTGCATCTTTCGTTTTTGTCATTCGATAGTTTCTCTCACGAGAGCTTCAAAAGGTTCTAACTTGTTGATTTCTAATCGGATATAATATTCCTAGTGTTTAAATTTTGTAAATTGTTCATGACTGTCATTAAAATAACATAAAAAATAATCAATATCCTAATTGTCAATGGTTATAAATTGTATTAAAACTTAATTTTGATACACAACTTTATTTCTCAGTATAGTTGTGTAAGAAATCATAAGTAAATAGAATGTAATTGTCTTAATATGTGTATTAGATTATGATTCATTTTATATAAGATTTTTAAAATTATTAATTGAAGATATGCTTTTATTGTATTGTAGAACGGATTTTTTTTATTGCTTAGATGTGTGGACTAGCTCACAGCCTACCTGGTGTTAAGTGGCTACTGGAGCCCATAGTCATTTACAACGTAAATGCGCCACCCACCTTGAGATATAAGTTCTAAGGTCTCAGTATAGTTACAACGGCTGCCCCATCGTTCAAGCCGAAACGCATTACTGAATTACTGCTTCACGGCAGAAATAGGCGGGGTGGTGGTACCTACCCGTGCGGACTCACATGAGGTCCTACCACCAGTAATTACGTAAATTATAATTTTGCGGGTGCTTGGAAAGTGCTTTTTTTCCCACCTATCCTTATAGCCTTGAGAAGCTATATTAAGTTCTCCTTGACGTGTAGGTGAGCTCACGGGGCTCAAACCGAGAGTGTTGCTAACACTGGCTCTAGCAAGAACAGTGCTTCGCAGAATCTACCACCGGATCGGAAACGCGATCCACTGAGAAGATCCGGCAAAAAATTCAGTGGGCTGTGTCTATGGGTTAATTCACTCGTCGAACCCGTCGCTAGCGACGAAGGGCGGTGACCGGTGCTTGTGGTACTTAAAAGCACCGTTAATGGATTGGGAGGATCTGTAATGACGTGTTTAGGGCGACGTCGACTGCTTACCATTCGGTCCACAGGATCGGTTATGTAATTCTCGGCGGCCACGACAAGAGGGTTTTCATGTCGTGCCGCTTTTTCAAAGTGGCGCAATGATGTCGACTGTAGATACTTACGGACTGAGTCAAGCTCCAGGTCATCATAGAGATCCACGTTCCTTAGGAACCATGGTGCTCCGACGGCTATCATGAAATTTGGAAAGTGGCAACGCCAAATTATTTTTATTCTATTGTTACAGACAATGGGTCTAACGCCTGCGTTTTCCAAGAGGCTATTAACGTTCATCCAAGACGCCATGCCTCTTCGCTTGAAGGAGGTGCATTTCGTGAAGCAGCCCATGATCTTCAATGTCGTATGGAATATGTTCAAGCCTTTCATCAGAGAGAAGCTTAAGAATAGGGTAAGTTTTTATGTTATAGGAATGTTATTGAAAATCTTGTAGAATTAAAAACGAATTAATTTTTCATTGTATTTGTAAGCCCCTGAATGATTGCTATGTTATCGTCGAACTCAACAAATCTATATTGATTCTGTAAGGCGCTCTCTCTTATGAACGGAACAATTGTATCCGTGCTACTTAAAGCTGACTAAGTTGAATTAATTCCAGATTTTCTTCCACGGTTCCAAAATGTCTTCTCTCCATAAGTACATGGCGCCCAGTCACCTACCCTCGGATTATGGTGGTGAACTTCCTGCTATCGACTACTCCGGAGCCGACTGGTACCCGGTCATCAACGAAATTCTGCCTCATGTGCAGAATTGGAACAAGTACGGTTTCGTTAAAGACTCTTAGATATTATATAATTAAATTATCGAAACAAACTAATGAAGTAGAAATTGTCACATTATAAATATAATTAATATAATTTAATGGGATATTTTTCAATTAATAATGTTTAGTGTTTTTAATGTAATAGCTGTTCAAGTAATAATGTTTAATTTTTTATTTAATGGGATATTTTTCAAAAGACAAAATATCGTATAATCTCATACCAACATTATTTTGATTTTACATCTATTCTATTTCTCTCAGTGATAAGTTATTGATTTTATACTCATCGTGTTCTCCATTTATTAATTATATTCTTCATTTTGAAATGTAAACATCTTCAAGATATCGCTTTGATCGTATATTTCGATTCGACGGTGACAATCACATGACAATCTTAAATTTCTTTTTTTTTTCATTTTCTGTTGAGATATTACTACCATTCTTGTTTAGCTAATATTCTCCATAATTGTTTTTCTTTTATACCGATAGTTTCTTATTTATTTTCCGTTGTGTATCTTTCTTCCATTCATTGTGTCATTTCGTTTGTTCTCATCCATAAATTTTTATCGCCTACTATAAATTTCAATCAATCAATATTTGTTGGATTTCCAATCACGTTTTCTACCTAATATTTATTCGGTATGTCATTGTGTTAGATAGCAGTATTTTTATAAATAGCCATTCCGCATTTGTCACATAATATGTATGTTAATTTTTAGTTTCTAATTAAATGCTCAGTGTATGAGCAGCATTACATAAGGTGTTTAGATATCGTGAATTTTAAAAATTATTTTGACATGTGACCTTTGGATACTGGGTTATGACGTAATTTTAATTTTTATAGATTTCGGGGGTATGTATTTACGACAATTGCATTATTCATTGAATTTGTTTTACATAATTGAATTTGCCAAATTAGTAGTAAACGTAGAAGAAGCACTGCTAGATTGTAATTGTGATTTATAAATTGAGATTAATCTGCAATGACTTTAATTTACAATCTATTGTAAATTAAAGTTTTCAAGACGCATTACGTTAATGTGAATGACACGAGTTATTTATAAAGTGATACGCACTATGCAGTATGTATCTCCTGCCTGTTTTTGCCGCGAGCTATGCGTTCCGGTTCGAAGGGTGGATTAGTCGTTTATTAATTACAAATTACCAATTTTATTTCATGTCTCACGCCTTTGGGTGGCGCCATTTTAAGAGTTCGGACTGTAATAACAAAGGCGTAGTTGTACGCAAAGTAATTAATGTTAACGTTTGACCAATACCTTGCGTATTTGAGAGATAAGTTTTCGGTATCCGTTTTTTGGAGTGGGTATATTAAGTATCGGCAGCTGAAAGTCATTTTTGGTTAAAAAACAGTAGTTATATTAAGTATATGCTTGTCATTGGTTTCTGATATTATTTCTCTTCATTCTTAGACATGAAAATTAATAGTTGCTTTCATTTCATTCATTTTTGTAAAAGCGTTTATGAATAGGAGCGAATTTCATGACATGTCTTAAAAAAATTTTTTATCGGATTTTTGTGGGGTTACTTTTAATTTTTAAAGTTTATTTTACATGTCACACTAATATTAAGGCTGTGATCCACAGTGTTTACTGAGCCCGTAATTTAATAAGATACCAAATGTAGATTAGTAAGTTCATGACATTCTTATAGTTTTAAGATACTTTAATTACTAAATATGTATATCAAAAACGTACGTGGTTATACAAATTGATGGATTAAAAAAACATGAATGTTGAAAAATACATTTTGTTTTAATATCTACTAGTAATAACGAAAAATGTATAAATGCGTGATGTTGTTGTGCCTTCAAAATTTTATCGTTAATGCTAATTAAGATGAGAAGAAAATCCCCAACTTGCTCAATATTTTAATATAATACGTATGCAAATAATGTATTTTGATAGATGAAATAAACTTTCTTTGTAATATATTTGTTTTTTAATTCACATCATCGTATATACCTAGTCAGGTCATAAGTATTGTCACACAGTAAAAACTTTTCTTTTAGAATGCTGGCCACAAAAAAGTTTATTGAATTCGAATTTCGAATTGTTCATGAAAATAAAAATGCATACTTTTAGAATTTTACTCATTTTAAATGTGGAGTGGACGCTTAAAGAAGACCGTGTTGCAGTTATTGCGTTGCATCGTTGCGGTTACGCGCCAATTCAAATCTTTAACATACTGAAAAATTTGAACATAACCAAAAGATTCGTTTATCGTACCATCAACCGATACAATGAAGACTCTAGTGTAGATGACAGGTCAAGAAGTGGTCACCCTCTGTCTGTTAGGACTCCAGCAGTGATAAAAGCTGTGAAGGCGCGAATTCAAAGAAATCCCAAACGTAAGCAGAAACTGTTGGCCCTTCAGATGGGGTTAAGCAGAACTACGGTGAAAAGGGTGTTAAATGAAGACTTAGGGCTTCGGGCATATCGAAGAAAAACAGGACATCGTTTGAATGCTCGTCTAATGGACCTGAGACTGAAGAGATGCCGCGCTTTGTTGAAGCGGTACGCGGGAAAAAAATATCGGGAAATTCTTTTTTCGGATGAAAAAATTTTTACCGTAGAAGAGAGCTACAACAAACAAAATGATAAGGTGTACGCACACAGTAGTGAAGAAGCGAGCAACCGTATTCCGCGTGTCCAACGAGGTCATTTTCCATCCTCGCTCATGGTATGGTTGGGAGTTTCTTATTGGGGCTTAACAGAGGTACATTTTTGTGAGAAAGGTGTAAAAACGAATGCAGTTGTGTATCAAAATACAGTCCTGACGAACCTTGTGGAACCTGTTTCTCATACCATGTTCAATAACAGGCACTGGGTATTCCAACAAGATTCGGCGCCAGCTCATAGAGCGAAGAGCACACAAGACTGGCTGGCGGCGCGTGAAATCGACTTCATCCGGCACGAAGACTGGCCCTCCTCCAGTCCAGATTTGAATCCGTTAGATTACAAGATATGGCAACACTTGGAGGAAAAGGCGTGCTCAAAGCCTCATCCCAATTTGGAGTCACTCAAGACATCCTTGATTAAGGCAGCCGCCGATATTGACATGGACCTCGTTCGTGCTGCGATAGACGACTGGCCGCGCAGATTGAAGACCTGTATTCAAAATCACGGAGGTCATTTTGAATAAACTTTAGTGTCATAAGAATCTATGTTTTGTTAAGTTCATTTTGGTATATGAATGGTTACATAATAAATAAACTTGTTTCAATTATTTTACATTAAACATGTGACAGAATTTATGACCTGACTAGGTAATTATGTCTTGAAGAACTAATTGAAGCAATTTAGCTTGATCATTTTCAATTGGAGTTTGATAGCCGTTTGAATTCAAATTTAAACAGACATATGTATATTATTTGAAAACGTTGTCCACGGACAAAAATGTATTATATAACAGAGAGCGTATATGTAATTGGTTTATTGTAATCATCAAGGAATCATAGTTTACGAATACCAGGCTACGGAGGCGCCTGAAATACCTTTATTCAAACTAAACAGCGGAGTTCTTAACCTAGTGAAGTTCTTAGTTTCATTTAATTATTTAATTCATTTTAGTTAAGTGACACATAGTTTATTTATTATTTTAATACTAAAGGTGATGAAACCGTGAGTGGTAGGCAGCGGCTTGGCTCTGCCCCTGGCATTGCTGAAGTCTATGGGCGACGGTAACCACTCACCATCAGGTGGGCCGTATGCTCGTCTGCCTACAAGGGCAATGAAAAAAAAAAAACTCACTGTGATTTTTAATTTTTGTTTTAATTAGTTTACTTCCTACTGTAGATCGTGAAAATTTTCTATTTTTTACAAACATACTACTATCCCGGTGGTGACTGACTACCGTCGCTCATGGTGGTCACAGGAAAGTCGCAGCCTGACGAAAAACTGTGATGGCTGATACGCGCTGAGTTTCAAATTATACACAATATAATCAATTAAAAGTTCAGTACGTAATTTGTATATACTAGATTGACTGCCTATAGATTCGTAAACTCAAGATACTTGAGTTTTCTAGTAAAAAAAGTGATTGTGAAATTTATCCTCAAAAATCATATCATTCGCGGAATCGTCCAATTTAAATCAACTATAATTAAAAAAATCTACATTGTTGTCCCTTACCTTGAAGTTATATTGGCGTCATAAAAAAACTAGAGCTTCTTATTTTGTGAGATAAATCTAGTTATTTATTTCGCGTATGAAAAATATTTTCCTGCAAATTCAGGTAGCTTCACTTTGTATTATTAAACTTGAGTATAGTTTTGGAAAATTTGGTATTTTATTTTATTTTATACAACACTAGCGACCCGCCCTCGCTTCTCTTCGGAAACATTAAAACACACATGAAACCAAAAAAAAAAAAAAAAAGTAGCCTATGTTCATCAGGGACAATGTCGGCTTCTAATGGAAAAAGAATTTTTCAAATCGGTCCAGTAGTTTCGGAGCCTATTCGAAACAAACAAACAAACAAATCTTTCCTCTTTATAATATTAGTATAGATGAAGTTTGGATTATGAATATAAAATTTTGCTAAGTTAGTTACTTAAACGAGTCACAGCTTATTTGATGCGAACCGATGACAGGCGCATGTGAACAATAAATTATGAATGCCTTTGGATGTTTAAGAATGTGTTTCAGTTTCATTAAAGTTCCAACAGTATTGTTGTTTTAATAAATCCTTCTTTTTTATTTTATTTCATTGTTTAGATGATTGGACGAGCTCACGGCCCACCTGATGTTAAGTGGTTACCGGAGCCCATAGACATCTACAACGTAAATGTCGCTACCCACCTTGAGACATGTTTAACTTTTAACAGTACAACTGCTGCCCCGCCTTTCAAATTGAAACGCATTACTGCTTCACGGCAGAAATAGGTAGGGTGGTGGGGCCTACCCTTGCGGGATCATAAGACGTCCTACCACCGTCTATCTAGACAAGTATTTGCATTGCTGCATTTGCAAAACACAGATAATCATTAGTCACAAAAAATAATGAAAACAACTGACATTTTGAATGAAAGAGACATGTTGACGCAAAATGAATTAGAATTTCAGACCGGTTTCACTGATCGCGTCATCGGTAGGCTACAAATTTGGTATCAATGAACAACTACTATATTTTGTTGTTTTAAATAGTTGTTGTATGCTTTAGATATTTGCATTAATACAAATTCACGTGTATGCAAGTGAACGTCGTTGATAAGCGTGAACGGTGGAAGTAGGGCACAGTGTACAGACTGTGACACCGATGATGGCCAGTCCCGTCACTGTCCGCCAGTCCACTACTGGCAACTGAGTAGCGCGCATGATTTAAAACCTCTATCAAGTTTCACTAAACTTATATCGGAAGATTAAAAAAAAAAACAATAAATTTTTATTTAACGTTTACGTTCAACGAACTCGTCTAGTAAAGTGAAAATGCCAATGAAAGTATTTTAAAAAAGCATACCGAGTGCTGACAACGGAGCTTTTTGAAGTTCACCACAAAAAAATAAATTAAACTTTCACACATATTATTTATAATTTATAACTTGTAAAGAAAAAAGAACTCAAGAAAAAAGAACTAAAGAAAAAAGAAGAAGAAAGAAGAAAACATGGAACTGCAAATGGATGTAAACGGAAACCCTTATGTGGTTTGGGGGGAGCACAAAATTCAATTGGAACGAGAACCAGTAACCGGTGAAGCATTGTTAGAAAAAGCAGAAAAAGAACTAAGAGAAACTCCTGAGATCGTAGAGAAAGCTGTGGCTGATCTCAGAACACTTTTAAAAGGTAAGATAAAAATAATTGCTTTTTACACTGGTTACTTCTACATGTCGTTTTTGGTTATTTACCTTACAATAAAAGTAAAGTAAAGTTTTGTATGTCTTTCTAATTGCTTGTTCGGGTTGTTCTCTGGTATGGCTCAAATTATTCTCATAAGAGTGGTACATAAATTATTAAATCACATTGCAGCCTACATTTCATTAGATCGATTATGCACGTGAAATAGCTATTCAGCTAGTTTACATTTTTAATAAATTAACAACGTTAATTAACAGCGTTTCCAACATTATTTAACAAAAAATCAAAAATTCTTCAAACAGTTTTATTATGGTCTGCAAGTATAATTAGGTTTCAAAATGAGATGTAAATACGATATCTCTAAGTCTGTGATCTTTATCCAATTGTTTTAATTAATATTTAAAGCAAGCATGTTTCGTTGCAAGATTAGTTTCTAGATAGCAACTTTTTGCATGATAATCTGTTCGCTAATTAATGATGAAAGCTTCTTATAAATCTTTGGATCGTTGGTCGACCCACTGCAGTCAGTCACAGTCACTCGAGTGACTTCTTGACTACAGTACTACGGGTCTGGGTACGATTTCCTGGCGGAGTTTCTCCCCTTCTTAAAGATGTGGATCGTCTCCTTCGGAGGCGCTCGGGCAGCTGTTAGCAAATCTCACCCTGGCTGAGCCTTTGCTCGCCCACCTGTCCTCGTGAAACTGGAAAGGTCTCCGGGCCACCAGTAATCCTACAATCCTAAAAAAGATGTGGATATTCGGGATCGGTACTAAGGACAGAGAAACTCCTAGTTCAAGTTCGTTTGGTCTCTTATGATCATTTTATTAATTTATTTAAGTCGTGAGAAATAATAAGAAGAGTGTCAATGAATGTCTTTTTAAAGTAATATCATTTACGCTGTAGTGGTTTAAGTATTGATAAAAATATTTATTAACCTTTCTAGGCTAGCTAATAAGATAAAAGAATTAAGTTACAAAATTATGCAGGCATAACTTGACCGTCACACATAATCTGTTTTTAATGTTACATATTTAAAATTTCACGACTTAACTATATCTTTGATTGCAGTTACATTGGTAGACTAAGCTTCTCATCAGGCCTATCGTAAGTCTTCCGAGCATTGCAAATAGACCGTATTAAGTTATGCTCGACGTTCACACATAGCCCAAGTACATACACATCAGGTGTGCACTGTTTCTCCTTTGCCGGCAGCAATCTTCTCCTGCTTCTCCATCGTAAGCCCAACAGGAATACCCTAAAAAATAAAAGGCGATTTCTCATCTCTCTTTAAGCGTGATAGTTTTGTGCAGGCCACCTTAAGATCAAGAATATTACAGATGCTTTTGTTTTCTTCTATAGAAAAGCAAAAGGTAGCTCCCGTAAAACAGTCGAGCCAAATGACCTCCAAGGATTTTTCCAAAAACATCAGTAGTTTTGTGACCAGCTATTTTTTCGCCTATTTGCGTTGATCCCCCAATGTTGGGAGTCGTGAGTCGTCTTTAGTTTTTTTCAGTTGGTATAAATTAGCACATTTGTGATATAATCAAACAAACAAACAAACTTTATTCAAGCAGCCCTTGACAGATACTTTGAAATTGGCAGGATTTAAAAATGAAAATTACAATTTGCGTAATTACTGGTGACAGGACGTCTTGTGAGTCGACACGGGTATCACCACCCTACTTATTTCTGCCGTGAAGCAGTAATGCAGTAATGCAGTTAGAAGAGTGGGGCTGCCGTTGAACGGTAAAAACTGAGACCTTAGAGCTCTCAGAGATGTCTCAAGGTGGGTGGCAGCATTTACGTGTAGATGTTTATGGGTTTTGGTAAACACTTAACACCAGGTGGGTCGTGAGCTCATCCATCCATTTAAAAGTTATTTCAATTTATTATCGGATAAGTAGCAACAGTCTTGAAATATCATGTACATATGTATGCAGATCCGGCTTAGGACGATAAGTCTTTATTTTTGATATTATAATTATCTTTCGATTGTTTTTATAATTGATTGAATTTAAATATACAAGGAGGTTTATTTTCGACTTTTGTTGTTGTTAAAAACACGCAAAAAGGTTAACCATTTAAAGTCAATTGACTATCATCGCCATTAGAGCTACCGTGGACGCAGCCAGATCTGGTTACACGCATAATTATTTCTAACTGTCACTGTTAGAAAAATAAACTTAAAAAGTCGTTGGCCAAATTGAAGAATGTTGGAAAGCATTTATTTTATGCCCCCTTTTAACTAAGTATATTCAACGGCGTGAATTTCAAAAGAAAAACATTAATTTTAATTTAATCTATCAATTTGTATTAAAAGAAGTAAAGGTGTATGTTATTGTAGGTACATTTTACAAATTTAATGTAATTTATACGTAGTTGAAAACCAGTCTAGTCTATAAAATGACAATACATTTGATTATTCAGCTGGAGTATTCATCACCTAAATGTTTTTCCTTGGACAATGTGTTTAAAGTTGTGCTCATGATGTGTGTTTGATTTCACGTTCCCGCTCATAAATCACTTTTATTGCGTCCCCAGCAATTAAGAGCACACATACTCGATTCTGGGCACGTACTGTTTTAGCTTTTTAGAATCATAGAAGAATTCGTTAGATGATGCACTGAGGTATGGGAGACCTAACAGGAGATAAATGATATATATTTACAGATCAAGGTATTTAAAGACAAATCATCAAACAGAGACTATCATGTCTCATGTCATCATGAGAGACATCAGTCTATCATGACAGAAAATTCGTAAATTCGAATCTTTATTTTTCTTACGTTGCACGTAGTAAGCTTCTTCAAGGTTTGTGAGGTTAACTAAGCGAAGTGTTAAGATAATGATACTCAATAAATAAAAATATTAACGTTTTTACAACCTGGCTTAATTTAGAAAATTGTAAGTTTTTTTTCTCTAACGTTGCAGTGTAAGATTTAATAACAGTTTAAAGATGAAGGGAAATGCTTATTTAATTTTTATGTAATATTTTACATGAAAATTTAGATGAAACATTTTAAAATTATTGCAGATGTATGACGGTGCACAGATTAAAGAAAAAAATCTGGATGGCTCCTATTTTACGTGCATTTGTTTATATTATTTTGAGTTTAAGACAGATATAGTCCCTGGTAAAATCTAATAATTTATGTCATAATTTACGAACGATTGTAACAAGAATACGAGTATATTTATTATACATAAAATATAAATCGATAAAACTAGCATAACATCAATAATAATTTAAAAAAGTCTTTCCACTTCGTATACAGGATTTATTGTATAATAAATTCTAATAAATCTCTCGATTGCTAATTGAATTTATTAGATATTTGAGTTCAGCCATTATGAAATTATGTTACTATTTCACTAGCATTACATAAGACGGAAGATGTTCGAATGGTGTTTTCAACATTATAATAATATGTTTGTAAGCAAACCGGTTTTGTTGTGATCAAAAGTTGAGATTATGATATGCTATGTACGGTATGTCTAGGACGGCACACTTTCAAATAATTTGCCGGAACCTAAGAATGGTGTGGCAACGAGTTATTCGCCCATGAGCTTAATGCCTTCAATTATTTTGAGTTTCACAACTAATTTTTTTTACTGTCATTGCACACGGGCAACGAGTATACGCCCTATCTGATGATGAGTGGTCACCGTCGCTTATGGGCATCAGCAAAGCCAGGGACACAACCAAGTCATTGCCTACGGATATTTTAATGATTGTGTAAATTTGAATAATTATACAAATTCTGCATGATGACAGGTTCTAGAATTTCTCTGTATCTTCGAAAATCATCTTTTCACATCTATACATATTTTAAGTAATCATAGCTTTTTGTACATTAACTTACTTTTACTGGTAATATCAGAGCGAGCAAGTCTGCATTTAACGGCAAAGAGGTCGTATATGCAGGTTTAACTGGTACAAAAAGCGTTGTTCAATTCCAGTTAAGATTTCAAGATAGCTGATCGCATTTAGTTGGAGCTCTCTGTGGGCTGTGAGAGCCACTTAACACCTGCCTCTAAAACTCTGCTTATAAAATTCAATAAGAATGATTTACGTTTTACAATTATTATTAGCTGTGTTTCTTATAGTGTACTTGATCAAGAATAGAAATTATTCTAGTTAGAAGTTCTTTGGATTACAAGATGAAGAAGATTCCTTGAAACATGGTAACTGTTATATCTTACTGTCACATCTACAATACTTGTAACTGGGTGTCATATGATAAACTTTGTTATTAACCACAACGTCATCGCGGATATATTTAATTTAAAATGCTGGAAACCTTCTAGTCATATAGTCACCTCATATTATTCTAGACAGCCTACATACACATAGTCACTTATTTACATAATCACAATCAAGAATATACACGCAGAAAACGTATTAAAACGACTATTTTAAAGTGCGTCGAACAACGGACGTAAAATAAGCCCTACTTTTAATTTTTTTATTCTTTTTCGTTGTGTACTTTCTAATATTTTCAACTTTTACTTTACGCGCTGTTGTAACTATATTGCACTTTTACTTGAATAAGTTTCCAGCGATATCTATACATATAAGTAAAATTGGAGTGTCTGTTTGTAATATTGAAATAAACGCTTTTTACTACATGCATATGAATATATATACGGTACATACACAGAAATGTCCTTTTTTACAATTTTGTGTGTCTATCTGTCTGTCTGTTTGTTCCGGCTAATCTCTGGAACGGCTGGACCTATTTTGACGAGACTTTCACTGATAGGTAGTTGATGATAAAAGGTGTAATTTAGGCTACTTTTTTAAACTAGCTGCGCCCCGCGGCGTGACCCGCGGTACGACAATAACCGCGGAAAACATCGCGGGACTCAGCTATCAGTAATAAAATTTAATGTTTACGAAGCGAAGCGAGGGCGAGTTTGTCATAAAAGTAGTTATTATTAGGTATAATCTGTTCATTGTGTTTTAATTTACCAAATGAATTATCGATTATTGTTTGAATTCGAAGCCGAATTGAGTAAACTGAATCAGCCATCTGTTTTTTGACAAACATGATTTTGACAAAGGTTTGATTTTTGTTGAGAAGTTTCCAATGTATTTTGACTGTGGACTTTGGTAATGACAACGATTCATTTACCGTTCTTATCGACAATGCTGAAATTGAATTCCACGTGACTCACTATTAATAGGGTTAAAGCGAAATGTGAAATATGTAAAATATTAAAGTGATTTGTTTTTAATAAAGTACGTACTTAACAAATGCTCACGATTGACTTCCAACGTGAAGGAATAACATCGTGTGATAAAAATCAAACCCACAAAATTATAATTTGCGTAATTACTGGTTGTAGGATCTCTCGTGAGTCTGCACGGGTTGGTACCACAACCACGCCTATTTCTGCCATGAAGTAGTAATGCGTTTGTAACCATACTTAGACCTTAGAACTCATATCTTAAGGTGGGTAGCGGCATTACCGTTGTAGATGTCTATGGGCTCCGGTAACCACTTAACACCAGGTGTGCTGTGAGCCCGTCCACCTATCTAAGCAAAAAAAATAATGTGAAACCAGTATTAATTTTTATGTAAATAGTTCTTGGTCTTTATTTCAGGAGAGAAGAATCTGTTTGTACCATACGAAAATGACGATTTTCTTATAAGATTTCTACGACCCTGTAAATTTTATCCAGAGAGTGCTTTCAAAAGAGTATGTTGTTCTTTATATAAATATTTAGTTGGTTTTGATGCTTGACGCTTTTTTTATATTTGATGCAACTTTAGTTGAACAAATATATTAAGTGTTTTTAAAAAATAATTTTAAACATCGCTCAGTTTAAAGTTAAGTTCATACTAAATTAACAGTTTCTTTGATGTCTTTTCAGATTAAAGCATATTATAAATTTAAAATATCCTATCCTGAATACTGCCGCGACCTTTTGCCGTCTGCTACACGAGATGTCTTTAAGCACTCCATAATGTCAGCTCTTTCGCCGAGAGATCAAAATGGCTGCCGTATTCTAGCGGTAGAATCTGGAGGTTGGTTCAAATTTTAGAAAATTAAAAATTGTATTTTAGTTGTCATAGTGCAATTTTTCGAATGTAATAATAGCATATATTAGTGACGTGTATACGCACAGTACCAATTTTATAATTTTGGTACTCATAGTGTGGCGTGAAGATCTTGTAGAACGCCGATGAAAATTGTCATGGTAAGGGTAAGATAGGCGACCACAACGATTTTGGTGCACCGTTCATCCATATTTATCGTATGATTTAATTTTGCTGATTGAGTTTGATAAGATTACGTGTTTTTTTTTTTTTTTTTTTATTGCCCTTGTAGGCAGACGAACATACGGCCCACCTGATGGTGAGTGGTTACCGTCGCCCATGGACTTCAGCAATGCCAGGGGCAGAGCCAAGCCGCTGCCTACCGCAAAGTGTGTCAGAATCTTGAACTCTCGAGAGAAAATATTAAACGGGTTTAAATGATTGATACAAAACGGCAATTGTAGGTATCTTTGGTTACGATTTTTAAGTACCTACCGAAGGCTCAGAACCACGCTCTCGTTCTCCAATAAGTTTGGGGTTAGGGGCCATAGAGACAAGAAGGCTTCTAGGTGAACGACTATCATTGTAACCATACTGTCGATTATCAGCTGGCGATCCTTGAAGTATTCGTTGATGACTGCCTCACCTTTGAAAGTAATTGGCTTGAAGTTTTAAGGTTTAGTCGGTCCCCTTTATTGGGGACAAGCGGGCCGCTCCGGCTCCGCTCGGGTCTTTAACAAAATTTTCATTGATATTTGACGTTGTTTTATTTTTTTAATAAAATAACACTTATTGCGGCATAACTATAATAGTTAGACATATGCTGTTGCGACACTTTTTGTAAATAATAATGTGTTCTACAAAGTCGTAGTACATTATTTTATTATAGCATCAATAGTTTTCGCAGAATATTTTAGGTATTTTTTTACACCTTGGATTACATTATTGGAGTTTTGTAAGGATCCCTATTTTTTTTTAAATATTACAGCCTATGTCACTCGCGAATAGTGTAGCTTTCATACAGTGAAAGGATTTTTCAAATCGGTTCAGTAGTTTCGGAGCCTATTCAATACAAACAAACAAACAAATCTTTCCTCTTTATAATATTAAGTATAGATAGAGTAATTTCGAGATTGTCTTGCCTTCGCGATATTTTGTACGTCACGGAATGGACAAAAATGAACATATAAAAGATTCGTTTTTTTTAAAAATCGTTTTCAATAGTTTTGAAACGTCTGACAAAGACTTTTGTTTATTGATTTAAATAATTTAAATGAACAATAGCCGTGTGAAATCATTTGCTCCATCTTCATTGTTGTCATGACCTAAATATATGTTCTTTTTATTTGTAATTAGTACAATTGTAGTATTTTTAAGTTTTATTTGCAGAATTCAGACACCGTGAATTCTAACGATGTCTGAATTGTAATGATTAATTATGAATTGATAATAATCACATCAGATAGTTTAAAAATTTAAGCAAACAAGGCGGCGATCGTATTGAGAGACCAGCAAGTGGAGTGTTGGTTATCTACCTTCTATACCTAGTCAGGTCATAAATTCTGTCACATGTTTAATGTAAAATAATTGAAACAAGTTTATTCATTATGTAACCATTCATATACCAAAATGAACTTGACAAAACATAGATTCTTATGACACTAAAGTTTATTCAAAATGACCTCCGTGATTTTGAATACAGGCCTTCAATCTGCGCGACCAGTCGTCTATCGCAGCACGAACGAGGTCCATGTCAATATCGGCGGCTGCCTTAATCAAGGATGTCTTGAGTGACTCCAAATTGGGATGAGGCTTTGAGCACGCCTTTTCCTCCAAGTGTTGCCATATCTTGTAATCTAACGGATTCAAATCTGGACTGGAGGAGGGCCAGTCTTCGTGCCGGATGAAGTCGATTTCACGCGCCGCCAGCCAGTCTTGTGTGCTCTTCGCTCTATGAGCTGGCGCCGAATCTTGTTGGAATACCCAGTGCCTGTTATTGAACATGGTATGAGAAACAGGTTCCACAAGGTTCGTCAGGACTGTATTTTGATACACAACTGCATTCGTTTTTACACCTTTCTCACAAAAATGTACCTCTGTTAAGCCCCAATAAGAAACTCCCAACCATACCATGAGCGAGGATGGAAAATGACCTCGTTGGACACGCGGAATACGGTTGCTCGCTTCTTCACTACTGTGTGCGTACACCTTATCATTTTGTTTGTTGTAGCTCTCTTCTACGGTAAAAATTTTTTCATCCGAAAAAAGAATTTCCCGATATTTTTTTCCCGCGTACCGCTTCAACAAAGCGCGGCATCTCTTCAGTCTCAGGTCCATTAGACGAGCATTCAAACGATGTCCTGTTTTTCTTCGATATGCCCGAAGCCCTAAGTCTTCATTTAACACCCTTTTCACCGTGGTTCTGCTTAACCCCATCTGAAGGGCCAACAGTTTCTGCTTACGTTTGGGATTTCTTTGAATTCGCGCCTTCACAGCTTTTATCACTGCTGGAGTCCTAACAGACCGAGGGCGACCACTTCTTGACCTGTCATCTACACTAGAGTCTTCATTGTATCGTTTGATGGTACGATAAACGAATCTTTTGGTTATATTCAAATTTTTCAGTATGTTAAAAATTTGAATTGGCGCGTAGCCGCAACGATGCAACGCAATAACTGCAACACGGTCTTCTTTAAGCGTCCACTCCATATTTAAAAATGAGTAAAATTCTAAAAGTATATATATTTTTATTTTCATGAACAATTCGAAATTCGAATTCAATAAACTTTTTTGTGGCCAGCATTCTAAAAGAAAAGTTTTTACTGTGTGACAATACTTATGACCTGACTAGTTATATATAAAAATGAATTGCTGTTCGTTAGTCTTGCTAAAACTCAAGAACGGCTGGACCGATTTGGTTAATTTTGGTCTTGAATGATTTGTGGGAGTCCAGAGAAGGTTTAAAAGGTAAATAAATATGAAAATGCTCGAAATTAAATAAAAATAACAATTTTGTTTTTCCTTTTGAAGTGTACTCCGTCGGACGGATTCCTTTTGTTTGTTTTAAGTTTTATTTTATACAAAGGCTTAGGTTTAGGCACTACGAAGTCTGCCGGGTCAGCTAGTTCCTGATAAAAATATAAAAATGAAAAATGTCTTCAAAAAATTAGTACAGTTTTGTGTTTGCATGCGTGTAAAACAATTGCTTATTTCAAATGTTATCATATGGTCTCTTTACGACGAGCTCCATAAAAAGTCGCAGTTTTGAACAGAACCGACGAAATAAATCAGTGAGCTATCTGGTCTTGATAACTTTTGGATGTAAGATGTAATAGAAGCTGTTTCTGGTTTAGTTTAATCGTCTAAAAATTCTAGTTTCAGTGCGATTTTCTTTCACCCCGTATAGCAGATATTAAGATTTAATACCAAATTCAGTTCTTGACAGCGGCATAGTGCTTCGGTGATTATATAATACAGCAGTACTTATCCGACCGCGATGGGGCAACGCAAATCCGCCGTCACCCGAAACATGTCTTGTCGGATCCCCTGGATTCACTCTTGGTGCTTTTAGGCCTCCAAGTACCGGTCCGTTAGACGAGCGAACTAGCCCATAGACACAGCCCACTGAGTTGCTCTCAGGATCTTTCTTCTCAGTGGATTGCGATTCCAATCCGGTGGTAGATTCTGCGAAGCACTACTTTTGTTAGGGTTAATGTTAGCAAATTCTCTCAGGTTAAGCTTACCTACCCGTCCGGGCGTAGTTGGAATTAACTTCTTAAGCCACCAGTGAATAGGTAGGGGAAAAAAACAACAGTAAAAAAAAGATCTTTTGTCTTTTCGTTTTTAATTGATATCCAAAAATTACTTTCGTCAAAGGCAAACCTAAGTAATTATTGTATGGATATTTTATCTGTTTCAGAAATCTGTAATTAAAGGAATTAGTTTTAAATATGATTTACAAAAAAAAAAAAAAATTTCTATTTTTGATTTCTTTCAGAGAGGTGGAATCCTCGTGAGGTATCTCTGAGGGACATGTTTAGAGTTATACAAATGGGTTTGGTTGGTGCCATATCAGAGCCACGCACGCAGATCTGCGGTATTGTATCAATCTTGGATATGAAAGGCTTATCGTTCTCCCACGTCATGCAATTTACTCCATCTTATGCCAAAATGGTCCTGGAGTGGCTTCAGGTAATGAGATTTTGTTTTATCTATTACATTGATGAGTTTAATGATATTGAAAATTAGTATTCATATTTGTCAAAATTGTTGTGGTTGGGTAATTTTTACTTTATACTGGAAGAACTAGGTCACGACGCTCCTTTGTGACTATCGCGAATTGTGTGAAAAACATCGATTTCATGAATCTCCTCGCACATCGCCTACCATAGTTTCGTTAATGCTATTTTGATACAAAACTTCGTTGGAGTGCTAACAATAACTATATTTTGTTCTATCATATCGATTTAACGAGTCAAATCTTCATTTTTATTTTTTCAAATCGATTTTGATTTTAAGAAAAAAACATCGTTGTACAAGAATATAATCCATTTTAAATTCACGAGTATTTTAATTGGGAAGATGGGTGTTTGAGGTCACTGTCTACCTTGTGTAAGTGCTTACCGCGATCTTCAGATGTTAAGTCGAAGTTTCAAATGTATTGTTTAAAGGCTGAATAGATAGAAAAATACAGGATGGGGTACCATCAACGAATGCTGGCTTTTTAAAGGGGTAGGGTATATTCGCCCTGCCACTAATAAAAAGCATGCTCTGAATGCCGAAATTTCTGTTATTCAAACAATCTACATTAAAATTATAAATTAGATGAGAAGCTTAAACTTATAATCATATTCGAGGCCACGTGAAATTAACATTAATTACAAATTTAATTCAACAAGCAAAGCAGCTTTTTTTTATTTTTTTATTGTTAGATGGATGGACGAGCCCACAGCCCACCTGGTGTTAAGTGGTTACTGGAGCCCATAGACATCTACAACGTAAATGCGCCACCCACCTTGAGATATAAGTTCTAAGGCCTCCAGTATAGTTACAACGGCTGCCCCACCCTTCAAACCGAAACGCATTACTACTTCACGGCAGAAATAGGCAGGGTGGTGGTACCTACCCGCGCGTTCTCACACCATCCTACCACCAGTAAAAAGTCTGTCATCACCATTACAGTTTCTTTGATATACTAATTAAATTACAGGATTGCGTACCGATTCGTCTTAAGGCTGTTCATATTATAAACCAGCCGTACATATTCAACATGCTATTCGCAATATTCAAGCCGTTTATCAGGGAAAAGCTTCGGGGGCGAATACATCTTCATGGGTCCAATTTGGCGTCTTTACGCGAGCACATTGATCCTGAAGCATTGCGAAAGCGACACGGAGGCTACCTACCTGAGCCAGAAATAGATGGGGAGGTATTATGGAAGATGATGTGTTTTCACGAAAAAGATTTTGAACGTAAGAGATGCACATTTATTATTATAATTTTGCAAATGCGCTCTTAATTATGAATGCCCACCACTATATTGTTTACTAACAAACACTAACATCCCGTTCCCAGTTAATATGAACTGTCTTTTAACATTCCCTAATCCTAAAGTTGTAAATGCATTAGCTTATTTTATTTCCCGCAATAACATTGAACTGTAAAAATATTTACAAATTTTTCTCCCGTTCTCATTCTTCTCATCTGCTATCATCTATCTATATCACTGATATTTTATCTACCTGACATTGGCAGAGTCATTCGTCAAAGAGGAGACTCGAGCCATTAAATAATAAAAAAAAACTTCAGAGGTGTCAAGGGACACCCGGATGGAACGAAGTTCGTTTCGATTAATAAGTGAAGGAATTGTAATTTTTTTTTTAAGTTATAATAATAAATTACGGCATTATGAAGAAGAAAAAAACAATACTATGAACTAAATTACTATTGTTGAAACGCTATCTCGAGAAACTGTACTCATTACGCGGACCAACCGGATACGAGCAATGTCACGCGATAAGCGCCTACAAGTCGTCGTGGCCTAACGGATAAGACGTCCGGTGCATTCGTGCTGAAGCGATGCACCGGTGTTCGAATCCCGCAGGCGGGTACCAATTTTTCTAATGAAATACGTACTCAACAAATGTTCACGATTGACTTCCACGGTGAAGGAATAACATCGTGTAATAAAAATGAAACCCGCAAAATTATAATTTGCGTAATTACTGGTGGTAGGACCTCTTGTGAGTCCGCACGGGTAGGTACCACCGCCCCGCCTATTTCTGCCGTGAAGCAGTAATGCGTTTCGGTTTGAAGGGTGGGGCAGCCGTTGTGACTATACTGAGACCTTAGAACTATATCTCAAGGTGTGTGGCGCATTTACGTTGTAGATGTCTATGGGCTCCAGTAACCACTTAACATCAGGTGGGCTGTGAGCTCGTCCACACATCTAAGCAATAAAAAAAAAAAAACACGTTGATTGGTCAGAATGACGGATCTAAAAAGTGTCGTGACAACTTTTCGTAAGAATTTTTTCCGTCTAGCCCCCTTTCACAACGCGCGATAAGGAACTTCGTTCCAAAAATATAAAAAAGTCAAGTAAACATCTAGTTATTTTAAATGCAAATGTACGTTGCTATGATTCTAACTATTGAAATATGTTTACTACAAAATTGCTGCAAGTGTTTGCTTAAGTTTCCAAAAGACAAGAGTATAATGTAAATAAAATGGTTCATGTTTTTTGTTTTATTTTCAGTGGCCAATTCATACGGATACACAGCGAACAATAATAACAACAAATAAGATAAAAATGTTTAGGTTTGTATAAGGATTTGTTTTTATTTGGTGGTATTTAATTTTTAGCGTAATATGAGTATTTCATGACTTTGTAAATTGTTTTTTGAGTTACTTGGTTTAACACATACAAATATACATTATATTACTTTTTTCTTTTGTTTAAATTGGTTATGGTCAATTTTTATTTTACTATCACATTACCATATATAGTTATAGCGGTAGGCAGCAGCGGCTTGGTTCTGCCCCTGGATTGCTGAAGTCCATGGGCGATGGTAACCGCTCACCATCAGGTGGGCCGTGAGCTCGTCTGCCTACAAGGGCAATAAAAAAAATTAAAAAAACCCATCAACGCACGACAGGTGACGGTTGAGCTGGTTTAAGAAATCGAAATTTTTCGTATAATTATATTAATACAATTAGTAGTAGTCACCGCGATCCGAAGCGTGTCCGTGTTTCGCTAGTCTTCTACATAAAAACCTAATGAAATTTATATGTATGTCTATATCTATTTATTGTATTATTGATAGTATAATGACGGAAGCCTATCTTAGAGTGCCAGCAACAGCTATACAATTAGATTAGGAACAGCTTTGGGACACATAGATGACAAAAATGCAAACACGATTTTTTACTTAAATGTAACTTTTAAAAGAAGCAGTAATTAGAAAAATACGATTGTTACAAATAAATGATGTTGCTAGCGATATATTGCTTTCAGTTCGAGGTAGGGTCAAAATAGGACAAATAGCTGAAATTATGGAAGACCTTCAAACATTGCTTCGTTACGTCAGTTGCTGGAGCTCATAGATACCACTGATTAGGTTATACTACACAATTTGGAATTTTAGGTCGAATAAGTTGAAATAGAAAGACTTAAAATAGAAAGACATACTACACTGTACAAGCATCGCAGTACCTGTATTGCCCAGCTTATTTTGTTGTATTTTTTTGTTTCTCAAATAGAGTTTTCTAATTTATAATGTTAAAAAAAGCGATGTTATTTCATTCCGCCTTTTCTAGACTCTAGTGCTTCATAGTATTTCATTAAGAATTAATGGCCCACGCTACTGACAAATAAAATTATAAAGACAGAAAAGTGGGATAATTGGTGTATTATAAAAACCTAAAAAATATTTTTTGGGCGATTAACAAACACGTAGCCTCTATTTTTGGTACCTACAACATTTGCATACACCGAATTTCGAATCGCATAAAACATAAGTAAAACCGTATGTACCTCCATAAGCCCTTATTTTTAATTGTACAATTGACGAAACACGATCAGAATGTAAAATAATTAATTGAAACAGATCCACGAATTGAGAAGTAAAATAATAATAATGAAATATAAAAATATATCCAGTTTGTATGCAACTGTTTGTGAAAAGAATAAAATAAAGTCGATACAGTTTTTGAGGAGAAAAAAGGGGAAACCGAGCTGTCGTTTCCAACTACTTAGGTGGTAGTTTAAGTTGTAGAACAATGCAAATAAACAATTTTTATAGGAATTCAGCATTTATTAATTCTATTTATTGGATAATCAGAGATTTACGCGTTTATAAATATACACACGTTATTTTTCTTTCAAAATACAAAAAAATATCATCTAAAATGAGACTGAATTTTAAATCAATAACTTTTATCAATATTTCTATTTTCTGAACCATCAACAAAATTTTATATAATTTTTTGGCGAATTAAGCTACCTCAGTCTAGCCTTTCAAAATAATTTCCTATTTAGTTATTTTGTAAAATTATATACCATTAATTTTAGTAATTTATACTGAAAAAGTATTGAGGAGAAAAGTTTGGAAAACATTGCGAGTAAACAAAACTATTGTCACGCCAATAAGAAAAACTACGTATTTATAATAAATACACCGTGAAATACAGTTGGATACAAGAATTATACATATTTAATAGAAATTTATACATGGAATTTCATAAAGTATTCTGCCAAATTTATCACCCATTTGAAAACCTTATTTGTAATCTTTCAAAATATCAGTTGACGTTTAAAACTAAAATATAAAGTATTATACATCAACGTGTGCTTACAACTAACTATAATATATTAATATCACATCGCTTTGAAGTAGTCTCAGTGTGCGTTTTAATAATATCATTTCTTTTTGAAGCCGAACGAATTAATTGCTGAAACAAACAAAAAATATTAACCTTAAATTAAATTAAATATGCATTTAGATCACTAGGGAAATGTGGAATATTATGCAGTATTTTTTAATCCGATATTATTTCTTCTTTTCTCCACCTTAGGTGGGGTCGGCACAGCTAATTTTTCTCTTCCATTCTCCTCTATCAGCCGTCATCTCAACACTCACTCCTCTCTCTCTCTCTCATATCGTCATTAACACACTCCATCCATGTCTTCTTCGGTCGACCTCTTCCCCCTCTACCTTGCACTACCATTTCCATACATCTCCTATTCCGATATTATTTAACATAACAAAATAATTAGACTATAAAAGCTTAGTTAACGATCATCAAAACATTAAAATTAAATTGCAAATTAAAGAAGTATGTTAATTATTATATTCTGAACGAATTCACGGCTCATCTAGTGCTAATAGATTTATAATACGCCCTACTGAATCGTTCGCAGAGCATTTCTTTAAATTCATCGAATTTTGAATAGTGCGAATGAAATTTGCCTTAAAAAATTGTACTATATGTATTTAGAACATTTTTATTTATTATTATTTCGTAGATAGTTGAACGAGCTCACAGCCCACCTGGTGTTAAGTGGTTACTGGAGCCCATAGACATCTACAACGTAAATGCGCCACCCACCTTGAGATATGAGTTCTAAGATCTCCGTATAGTTACAATGACTGCCCCACCCTTCAAACCGAAACGCATTACTGCTTCACGGCCGAAATAGGCAGGGCGGTGGTACCTACCCGTGCGGACTCACAAGAGGTCCTGCCACTAGTAATAAGTTATTTATAGCCAAACAATATGAGGGAACTTACCAATAAACTCTTGATCGCACATGAGGAGTAGTTCCAGCCACTGAGGGCCTGTCACTTTTGGTATTGTGAGCGTTCCTCCATAGCAGTCCGGCAGACATTTGGGGCTGATGTGTTTGTGTAACAGCTCGCGATCGTTGCCCATGAAGATGATGCGCGACCGAAGTTTCTCCTTTAGGAATGGCTTGAAAAGCTGGAACACCATATTGAAGACGTACGGCTGGTTGATGATGTACAATCCTTTTATGCGGAGCGGTATGCATTCCTGAAAAAATTATGTTACATTTTAATAATTCAGTCTCTTAGTTTCGTTAAAAATATTAACATCACTAATTAAAGTTATCGAAGTCAATATGCATACGGTGTGCAGCCCTAATTCTTGAAGTTGAAATGTCAAAAAAACAACAACCCTAGTGTATAACATGAACAGCAGTGTTCAGTTATAGTTCAGTTAACTCGGGATAAATAGTTTGGAAACACGCAACCGTTTTTATTTTTTGCGTGACGGCATTTTGATTGTGATGTCTGTGAGCCAAGCACAGATATGACTTAATTGCAGTTGTCTGTGAGCTCCTACACCAATCAAAGCAACAACAAAAAGGTTTCCTTAATGCCATCTGTCAGAGATTACAGCCGCTCATGGATTTCATTAATGTAAGGGGCACAGGGAAGCTTTTGTCTTTATCAAAAGTACTTTTTAGAAAACTTGTTTTAAAATAGGAAATATTATAACGCAGGAGAAACACCGTAGACGGAAGTTGTTCTTATAGGTTGATAGGTAAAGGTAAGTTTCATTTTCTATAATAGCTTTGGATGAACGAAGCGGACCCAGATCGGTCTTGGCGAGCGAGGGCTTGGTTGTACACCTGGCATTGCCAGTGTTCGTGATTCACGGTGACCACTCACTGTGGGTGGGCCGTATTATCGCCAGTCATCGATGGCAATCGAAAAGTTTTTAGAGACGAACTCTGCTCTGGTAGCGTGTGATGTTGTAAAATGAGGCATCATCATTATCTCGAAACAATTCGTCGGGACACTTCTTGCTAAATTTAAGATAATTAAAAAAGTATGTCCGTATAGTCTGAGGTTCTGAAAGAGTTTTTGAAATAAATAATAGTTTAAAAAACTAAAAAACACGCTATATATAAAATATTTATCTATAGTCGATAAGGTAGGAATTGATGTTAAAGTACTTAATAGTTTTAAAAATACGCTTTTATAAATTTTTAATAATTTTTTTTATTTTTTTTACACTATTTTCATTTTAAATTTATGAAAATTTATTTCTATTTTTTAGTTGAATTTTATATAAAGCGTGTTTTTTAGTATTTTTTAATTATTATTTATTTTTAATTTTTTAGTTAAATTTTCTATAAAAGCGTATTTTTAAAACTATTAAGTACTTTAACATCAATTCCTACCTTATCGACTATAGATAAAAATTATATAAATTGGCAAAAATCTTATTTTGCAAATTGAATAATGGAATAATCTTATCAAATTAGTGTATTGTCATAGTTTTAGTTCATAGTTTGAATGAAATCTGGCCGTTTAAAGTGGGGCAAAATTGCGTCTAAAGGAGTCATTTACAAACATACATACAAGTGAAGCTAATATAAAGCGTGTAAAAATAAAGCGACATACCTGCAACCAGTCTACGATTCTCTTAGCAAAAGGTGGCGTGAACTGCATGACTTGCTGCATGGAGAGACCGTCCATGTCAAAGATGACGACAGCTCCGCAGATCTGCGACTCCGGTTCCAACATGGCCGCCTCAAGGAACAACACGCAGCCTTTGAAAACCTCGTCCAGCGAACATTTATTATGCTTCCATTTCTCTGAAGTAAAAATACATAATTTATTGTTAATTTTTGATAAAATACATAATTTAGTGTTTAGTAGCTATCATTATTTAAAATATACTTTTAGTGTTTAAGTTCTAGAGATTCAGTTAATCAAATATAAATTGTGGTAAGCTAGGAAACATCTAGTTCACGATTTAAAAAATACAAACGAATCCATAAATAATATGTTTATGTTATGTTCCCAATTTAATGATCGTTTGCCTCATTCATTAACAAAAACAACAAGATAAAAAGCTTTAATAAAAAGCGAGCATTCAGTTCTTGACGTAATAAATAACATGCTCCGGTATTTCCAGTCGATTTACAGATGGTCTGCAATTACAATGTGATGTGGTGGAAAGATGCGAATCGTACTGTTATTACGCCGTACCGATCGTACCGTGTCATTTGTGTGTTGTAAAGTCATTGTTTTGCGAGTTTAAAATTAGAATTAAAACCTTTTTGCAACAACCCACAAAAAGCGATGACGGTTCCTTTGGAACGTTACCCGGATGCTGCACCTTATTAACAAAAAAACATTCAGATTCAGTGCTCATAATCATAAATTGGTCTTTGAGGAAAATTAAATTACGTTAGCAGAGGGTCCGGGGAAAACACAAAAGATGCCCATGCCGATATAAAAACTGGAATAAATTAATTTTAAATGCCGGAAAAATAAATGTCAGAATCCAACTTGTGACCCTACGCATGCACATATACGATTTAATTCTTAAATAATTACTACCTGTTCAAGTTTATATGTTCAAGTGCCGTTTATATTAAAATTTAACTACTGAGTCACAATTCCTGCGATATTTTTTAGTATATTATTTTATTTATATGATCTTTATGACTAAGTTGATTGAATCGCTCCTTGCTTGCAGTAGTTGAGCACCTAACTGGGTCTAGGGTCCTGGGTTCGATTCCCACATCGGGCAAACATTCGCGTCATAAAAAGGTTTCTTTGTTCTTTATCTGGGTGTTTAATTTGTATTTATTTAAACGTATATAAGTACAGGGCATTTTAGTTTAGGTCCAGACGACCGTGTGTGACATTTCGGCTATTATTATTATTACTGCTTAAAATAGTAAAAATGGTCACCACTTGCCCTATTTTAACGCTATTATGCATATCTAACAGTTAACCATTGTTCATAACGTAGAAAGATATGATTCTAATAGACGAGGAGTAAATCGAAAAAGAAAACTAATCTATGTACACATAACAGTGAAATGTCACTCACATATCACGAGATCTCCGTAATTATTCGTTCTATAAACTTCGAATTTATTATTAAATATATTCCTTTTGCGTATTTATTTAGGTATTTATTCCGTAAAGGTCACGATCCTCAGCACTGAGGAACACGACGCACGGAGGATATTTCGGGTTTGGTACCCATTGAGTTTCAGATGAGCCGTCTGCACGCTCATCTACAGTGATTGAAGAAAACTTACTTCCAAGTTCCAAGACGAGCACCCTCCGCCCGCACTGATCTCTGGTCGGCAGCACCGTCAGCACGTTCTCGTTGAACACATTAGTCTCCTTGCTCGGTGTTAGGCCATCGTAATGTTTGTGATGTTTCACTTTGAAACCATAGTAACGCTTTATCTGAAAAAAAAAAAACAGATTTAAATTACATTTCGTTTCGGCGAATACGGTGTAGAGTGCAGCAGCTTTTATACCGTCAAATTCAATAATGAAGTTCCATTAGTAATGACAGAACGGCGAGCGTATTATGGATTGAAATTTTTGCAGATGTTAGCAAAGTCTCCGAGATTGAGACCCTTTTTTTCCTACCTAAAAGCCTTGCGAATAGCCTTGAGAGGCTATTTCAGCGTAACCTTAACTAGTAGGTGAGCTCACGGGGCTCAAACCTGACGACGTTGCTAACACGAACCCTAGCAAGAGCCGTGCTTTGAAGAATCTACCACCGGATCGGAAACGCGACCCACTGAGAAGATCAGGCGAGAAACTCAGTGGGCCATTCTGTCCGTAGGATCGGGAATGGTGAGCCCCGTGAACTCACCTATAAAGCCGGAATAGTAACTGGAATAGGCCTTTCTTACCTATTAGGTAAGAATTAAAATAAAATTGGTAAACTAGGCGACATAGTTTTTTTTCACCCCATTTTAAAGCACAAAACCTCGGTTAAATATCGCGGTCACGAGTCTGTTCGACTAACCAGTTCTGTATAATACAACTGTTTATTTCTTTATATGTATTTGTTAAATTAACATGATTCCGTTGGCTTTCTCTTTGATTTGTTTTGTACGTTTCAATTTTTATGACAGTTCTGTTTCACAGTTGAACTAGCACGAACCTACATAGTTTTTTTTATTGCTTAGATGGATGAATGAGCTCACGGCCCACCCAGTCTTAAGTATTTAAGTAGTTACCGGAGCCTATAGACATAAAAGACGTAAATGTCGCCATGTCCCTTGTGACATTTTTTTTCCTACCTATGCTGATAGCCTTGAGAGGCTATTTCAGCTTCTCCTTGACGTGTAGGTGAGCTCACGGGGCTCGAGTCGGCAGTGTTGCTAACACCGGCCCTAACAAGAGCAGTGCTTCGCAGAATCTACCATCGGATCGGAAACCCGATCCACTGAGAAGATCCGGCAAGAAACTCAGTGGGCTAGTTGTAATATGAGTTTTAAGTTTTATAGTACAACGGCTGCCCTACCCTTCAAATCGAAGCGCATTACTGCTTCGTGGCAGATATAGGCGTGGTGGTGGTGCCTACACGCGCGGGCTCACAAGGCACCCTACCTATTAAAGTATTTTCGTATCATGTTACGGTCTACCTTAAATTTTAATAATACTCTAACATCAATGAATCAGAGCGTAGTAAGTAATTATATTTTTAGACGTGCTGAGTGGCCATTCACATTAGTTAACATAACTAGCAATACAATCAGCGTTGCTTGGATTTTACATACTGTTTTCCGAGGATATCAGTCTTTATTCTATGGTATTTAGAACCAAATGCTTAATAATCATCAAATGCATTGAATCGGGTATGCATTTTCCAAACCAAAATATATCAATCAAATGACATAATAATACAATATTATAGCGGCAATCACTTAGTGATTTCAATGGGATCCGGTAATCAATTAACACTAGATGACCTTGAAGTCTTTTACCCTATTTGATGCATGAAAAATCATTGTGTTATGATAGAATTAGCACGATTATATTATTGTGAACAACAAAAGAATGCGCATTTCACACGTGGTAGCAGAGAAATAATTTTTCTCGTAGACTGATTCTTCTAGAATATAGAAAATAAATTAGAGTTTCTTTAAGGTTGCTTTTTCGTTTCAAAAAATTTCAAATCCAAAGAAATAGATTATTTAACAAATTTTTCAAACTTACCAGATCATAGGCGCTCTCCGGATAAAACTTGCACGGCCTTAAGAATCTAATTAGCCAAGCTTCATTGTTCAGAGGAACATGCATATCCGTATCTTCTGTGAAAATAACAGACAGAGAGTATTAGAATTTTGCAACACAGTTACGAAGAAACATTTTGTTTAGGGTTCGAGCGTGTATGACACCGATTATCTTTCACCTGTTATAAAAAGTTGAAGGAATTGAACATTTTTGTTTAGGTATACGCTATACAACCTATACCGTATGTAACCAGAAGTGTTTTAATGGCAATAAAAATATTCCGATGGCAATAATAAAATAGAAATAGAAATAAAATTTGGAAGTCGTCGTGGCCTAACGGATAAGACGTCCGGTGCATTCGTGTTGAGCGATGCACCGATGTTCGAATCTCAGGCGGGTACCAATTTTTCTAATGAAATACGTACTCAACAAATGTTCACGATTGACTTCCACGGTGAAGGAATAACATCGTGTAATAAAAATGAAACCCGCAAAATTATAATTTGCGTAATTACTGGTGGTAGGANATAAGACGTCCGGTGCATTCGTGTTGAGCGATGCACCGATGTTCGAATCTCAGGCGGGTACCAATTTTTCTAATGAAATACGTACTCAACAAATGTTCACGATTGACTTCCACGGTGAAGGAATAACATCGTGTAATAAAAATGAAACCCGCAAAATTATAATTTGCGTAATTACTGGTGGTAGGACCTCTTGTGAGTCGGCGCGGTGGTACCTACCGCCCTGCCTATTTCTGCCGTGAAGCAGTAATGCGTTTCGGTTTGAAGGGTGGGGCAGCCGTTGTAACTATACTGAGACCTTAGAACTTATATCTCAAGGTGGGTGGCGCATTTACGTCGTGGATGTCTATGGGCTCTAGTAACCACTTAACACCAGGTGGGCTGTGAGCTCGTCTACCCATCTAAGCAATAAAAAAAAATAAAAATAAAAATTTATATGAATCGAGCGAGAATCGTGACCCCTTCTAAAGATCCGGCGAGAAACTCAGAAGGCTATAAGATGCGTAAACTTTAAGTTTAGCTAGTTTATTTCTATTTATTTTTAATATAATATATATTAATAGGGTTTAATAGTAGCAGTAGCCTTTCTCGAAAACATAGTAGAACTTGATAGAATTGATGGTTTAAAATATCTGTGTTTGGATTTCTCTCAAAAAAATTGTTGAATACATATAAAACTGTACTTAAATTGAAAGGCAAAAGAACACTGGTTTTGTTAGCTACTAAAAATAACTTACAACCTTGACTTATTTTAAGCCGTTTAATTTTGTTTAGGTACTTGGAAATTAAAAATCACTCCAATCAAAACTATGTTGGTACCTAGCAAATCTACGTTAATCCAGGTAAATATCTAGAAACCAATAGATGACTAAAGTATTTCCATTATTATTCCATTTTCGGATCTTCATAATGTGTATTTAATATTTTAATAATTGCCGCATCAAATTATATGAGACATTAAAAAACACTTATGATTGTGTCACAAATAGTAGATTAGCTGTGCTATCATTAAGCTCTGTGTAATGTATATATGTAAGAATAATATATGTATAATCTTTGTATTTTTTTAAATTTACGTTTGTACACGTGCAAATTGTGTGCATAAAGTGGCGGATGCAAGGCGATTGCATGCAGCAGAGATGCGAATGTTGCGCTGGATGTGTGGAGTAACGAGAATGAATAGAATACGGGATGAATATGTTAGAGGAAGTCTGAAAGTGGCACCTGTGACAGAGAAGCTGAGAAGTGCGCGTTTGGGATGGTATGGACATGTGATGAGACGAAATGAAAATGAGGTTGGTAAGAGAGTGTTAGCTATGAATGTGGAAGGCTATAGAGGAAGACGTAGACCTAAGAAGAAATGGATGGATTGTGTGAAAGACGATTTGGGTAAGATGGGGAGCGAAGAAATGGTATATGATAGAAGAGTATGGAAAGAGAAAACATGTCGCGCCGACCCCAGGTGACTGGGAAAAGGGCAGGAGAATTATGATGATGAGACGTGAAAATTAACACGCTTGCAAGTTAACAGTGCGGATTCATTGCGAATATTGTTTTCTTAAGCACACATTTACTTCATGTTGCGTTTTTACCAAGTCTTCAACTTTGGGAATAAGGGATATTTTAACATTTTGGCATCATTTGACAGTAATAAATATACAGTGTATGGCGAATTTCATAATTGGCTTAATTATGTGTACTTAGAACTTTTCAGAATCTAGTCATATTCTGAATATTTCAAAGAAACTACAACATCCGAGTTGCACAACTGAAACATGTCAAATGTTTAAAAACAATAATATGATAATAGATACATGCTTAGTAAATGTAACAATTTGCTAAAATACATCCTTTTTATATAAACTCATATACTATAAGTGTATACTTATGAGTTTATTTAAACCTTTCGTTGCTTGTATCGTACTCGTGTTCCAAGTTCTCATGAAGTAATTACGTCAAGATTATACTATTATTAAAGGTTAGGTTACAACCTTCTTACGTGGTTAAACGACGAAATGCAAGGAATTATTACACATGCGTCTATTTAGTTCTTAATCTATACGTTGTAACGTTGGAAATATTTCGAAGAATGAAATCGTAGACAGCACGAATGTATTTTGTATGTGATTGAAAGCAATTTTAAAAGCTGAAGTCGTTGTGGCCTAAAAGATAAGACGTCCGGTGCATTCGTGTTGAAGCGATGCACCGGTGTTCGAATCCCGCAGGCGGGTACCAATTTTTCTAATGAAATACGTACTCAACAAATGTTCACGATTGACTTCCACGGTGAAGGAATAACATTGTGTAGTAAAAGTGAAACCCACAAAATTATAATTTGGGTAATTACTGGTGGTAGGACCTCTTGTGAGTCCGCGCGGGTAGGTACCACCGCCCTGCCTATTTCTGCCGTGAAGCAGTAACGCGTTTCGGTTTGAAGGGTGGGGCAGCCGTTGTAACTATACTGAGACCTTAGAACTTATATCTCAAGGTGGGTGGCGCATTTACGTTGTAGATGTCTATGGGCTCCAGTAACCACTTAATAACAGGTGGGCTGTAAGATCGTCCACCCATCTAAGCAATAAAAAAAAAGCTGAGTTTGTGCGGCATACGACGCTTGTTTTATCTTTTTTTATTAGCATATTTTTTATTTACTTAAGCATTCGCTGGTAGCCTAAGTGGCTATTCCAAGTAAAGCGCGGACGGTTAAGTAAGCTCACAGGCTTAGACTAAGAGAATTCGCTAACACTAGCTCTAGCAAGAGCGGTACTTCGCAGAATCTACCACTGGATCGAAATCGCAACCCACTGAAAAAATCCGGCGTGAAACTCTATGGGTTGTGTCTATGGGTTAGTTCGCTCGTCGAACTCTTTGTCGTCATCGACGAATTCGACCAGGTCGGTGACCGGTCCTTGAAGAGCCTGAAAGCACCCAGAGTGGTTCCAGGGGAACTGACAAGACATGTTTCCGGGTATGTAATTAGCAGCCATGATAAGGAGGTTATTGTATCGCGCCGCTTCATCAAAGTAAGACGCGTCTGCTAGCTGCCTTTGCTCTTATGCGTCCACAACAGAATTTTATGAAACAAGTACAAATGCTTATGTATTAGTTACACCATTTAACAAATTAATTCTGTATTACAATATCGTTCAGTCTTGTGAAAACTTCCTGAAAACGAGCTCTTGATCCACTAAAACTATAGACATGATAGTATACCGGTGCCCGCGTTAAGCTGTGACGTCACAGTCTCAATACATTTTTTTAGTAGTTTGCAATTGAATAGCCGTTTCATACTTCGTAACGAAACGCATGATTGCTTCGTGGCATAAACAGTACGATTTACTGATAGTGAAAGCGTCCGTGGCGTAACGGGTTAGACACAAAATGTATTCGCATCGAGGGATGCGGGTTGCAGAGAATTATAATCATCATCAAAGAAATCACATTGAATCAGATTATGCCTGTATTAAAATTGATGAAATAATAAACTTGTGGACTCGTTATTATCTACGACTAGTTGATAGGGCAGACTTCGTAGTGCCTCAATCAATAAATAAAATGCCTAAACTTTTGTATAAAATAAACTTAAAACAAACAAAAGGAATCCGTCCGACGGGGGACACATCAAAGGAAAACCAAAATTGTTATTTTTATTTAATTCCGAGCATTTTCATATTTATTTACCTTTTAAACCTTCTCTGGACTTCAACAAAAAAAATCCAAGACCAAAATTAGCCAAATCGGTCCAGCCGTTCTCGAGTTTTAGCGGGACTAACGAACAGCAATTCATTTTTATATATATAGACTAGCGGACCCGGCCACACGTTGCTGTGGCTGTGGCTTAGGTTTTTGTTTCTAAATAACTCGCGGCCGCCTATGCTAAGACCAAAAATTGACAACGTAAGAACAATTGGATTTTACTGTATTGCGTTTACTACGAAATAAATTTCACTTATACTTTAGCCTCAGAAACACGTGGTGCTTATGCCATTAAATTGTAGCTTATGTGAAACGTTGCTATTTTTAGCACAGCGCCATCTATGAGATATTAAAGTCACAGTATAACAATTGTCTGTAAAAACTGATTTAAGGCGCCATCTGTTTTAGACTTATGAAACTTACAATTAATAACAAAAATCAACATAAGAAATCATTTTATTGTTAATTAATAAATATTGCGACCATTCATCGAAATAAAAACCATCCTATCTCTCAAGTTGGATCGANACTTATGAAACTTACAATTAATAACAAAAATCAACATAAGAAATCATTTTATTGTTAATTAATAAATATTGCGACCATTCATCGAAATAAAAACCATCCTATCTCTCAAGTTGGATCGAACTGCACATGGTGTGCGAATTTTATTATAATCGGTTAAGTGGTTTAGGAGTCCATTGAGGACAAACATTGTGACACGAGATATATATATATTAAAGAAGATAGATAGATAGATTATTAATAATAAACCTTATTAAACTTATAATTGATTTGACTGTTCATCTTTTAAAAATAGATTTGACAAGAAACTTTGTTGTTCGTATTTCCTGTTTTTAAGGTAAAATCTTCCACTGAGGTGTTTTTTTTCGATAAGTTGATGGCTATAGCGTTGAGGCTTTGTTCAGAAGTTTTAAAATTATTCCATCATTGTCTACGAACGTAAACTGCTGGACTTTGACAAGACTAATCGTAACTACCGGGCTTATATTAGGCACATTCAGCGGACTCCCGCGACCTTCGGTAGATCGTTGGTCCACCTAGTAGGAGGTATACCTACATCAAAAACAAACCCGCAAAATTATAATTTGCGTAATTACTGGTGGTAGGACCTCTTGTGAGTCCGTGCGGGTAGGTACCTGCCTATTTCTGCCGTAAAGCAGTAATGCGTTTCGGTTTGAAAGGTGGGGCAGACGTTGTAACTATACGTGAGACCTTAGAACTTATATCTCAAAGGTGGGTGGCGCATTTACATTGTAGATGTCTATGGTCTCCAGTAACCACTTAACACCAGGTGGGCTGTGAGCTCGTCCACACATCTAAGCAATAAATAAAAAAAACTGCCCTTTCCAGTGCACTGTCGCCACTCGAAAACGTTTTGGCTCCAGCGGTCATCGACAAGCAACGTGTCCTGCTCACTACCACTTCAACCTCACAATTATTTGGGCTATGTCGGTTACCACGGTTCTCCTGCGACTCATCTATATTTGTTTGTACCGGAAGCTCCCATCAATGCCCTTTCAATTGAGTGACTTTAAGCCTTCTGGTTAAGCGAAACGTATGCGATCACTTATAAGTGATATTATACTTCAAACGGCCGTCTGGTGTAGTGGTAAGTGACATGGTCACTACACAAGGGGGTCGCGGGTTCGAATCCCGCCAAGTGAAGATATTTGTATGATAAATATAAATGTCTTTTCCAGGGTTATGGATGTATATTAAATATATGTATGTGTATAATAAAAATCTTACATTTATTTCCGTTATCTGGTACCGGTAACACAAGCTCTTTACGAACTTAGCACGGGACCAGTTAACGTGGCGTGATTGTTAGTAAATATTTATAGTTATTTTATATATTTATATTTATACTTATGTCATTTGGTCAAAAACTTTCGTCTAGAAACTTGATTTTTAGCACGTTGCTCTGTCAGTCTAACGCTACTATATTGATCAATAGTTGATCAATTAATAAAAATAGTTGATACGCTTACCACTAAGAAGTCTTTTTAACTCTTCAACAGCTGGTTCGACGATTTCTGGTATTTCTCGAAGTTCTCTTCTGGCAATCTCTCTGACCGACTCACGTGGTTCATCCAACTCGAACTGCAGTAAGAAGTCGCCGAGTTGGACGCCCGGCAGCTTTTCCAACTCAGTCAGCATGTGTTGTGATACTGAAAAAAAAACTATGTTTAATATTTAATGACTAGCTGACCCGGCAATACAGGGTAAAGTGGAGACAACTTGTGAGGGCCCTATGTACCAGCGGGGTACCCTAGGACTACAACAACATGACCCGGCAGACTTCGTAGTGCCTCAATCGATAAAACAAACAAAAGGAATCCGTCCGACGGGGGACACATCAAAGGAAAAACAAAATTGTTATTTTTATTTAATTCCGAGCATTTTCATATTTATTTTCACCTTTTAAACCTTCCCTGGACTTCCACAAATAATTTAAGACCAAAATTAGCCAAATCGGTCCAGCCGTTCTCGATTTTTAGCGAGACTAACAAACAGCAATTCATTTATATACATATATAGATAGAAGATAGATAGAATAACGAAAATAACAGCAACTAAGACGGCTGCCGCCCGGCCAGGTGAAGTGATGGCTGGATGGTGGATTCGGAATGGACGAGGAGAGACCGAGCTCAGTTGAGTGGATTGGGAGAGGCCAATACCCAGCAGAATGGAAGGTTCACGACTGTTGATGATAACAACAAGTTTTAATCCTTGAGTTTAGCAAAGTCAGGATAATTATTCGCGGGAGAGATCAGAGATAAGGTACTCAATATTACTAGCACTAGTGTATACCATGAGTATGACAGCGGGATATATAGAATTCGAGAAAATAATTTGACATCGATTCTTAAAAGCTTTTGTCTCCAATATGTTAATTATATTATTATATGGTATCGAATATTTTGACATCGAGTTGATTGCTTTTAGCATCGACCCGTCCAATGCTAAGTTCAACAACCGTTTCTCTGGCATACCCACTGTCCTCAATTATTATTTGTTTGTCCAGTTTTAAGACGGGTTCCGTGTTATTCGTTGACTTCGTACCGCTCGTTTAATTATAGCCAATATTTTATTAATTATTTCCTTAAATTATTGAACAAATTTTTTTTAAGGAAATTTGAAAAACAAATTAAAGATTTTGAATATCAAAACACATTACCGTCGATTCTAAAAATAGCCACATTCCTCAGAACCTTGAAACAATAACATGAACATTTTGCTTTCAATTTTCTATAAATAAGAGACAACATAGAAGTTGTTGTTTATGAGGTTTTGGTTAACGCTTATACCGTGAGCTGGTCTTCCCGTAATTGGTAAAAAATTTAATTCCGTTGGTTTTGTTGGCAAGTTCACAATCATGCCAACTTGATACTGATTTAAATGAAGTACAGATGACATTATATGATTTTATAATGAAAAAATAATAGAAGAATAGTTATTTTTATGTACTACTAATATAATTTTTTTATTGCATAGTTTAATACAAAAACAAGTTCAACAAATCCGTCCTCTTGCAGTGTCTTACCGTCTTAGCGGGATGGGGAATTGTTACATATAAAATTGTACTAGTATTATACTTGCATTCTATGACTAATAAGTATGTTATTTCATTTCCATTCGAAAAAACCTAAAGATTTTGTTATAGATCTTAATATGGTCTATTCCCATTACTAGTTATTTTATGTTGCCTTGACAACTAATAGTCCACGTGAAACAATAGACTATGCTGTTGACCTGTGTCAAGAGAATTTTGCAAGCACAAACTAATACATATAACTAATTTAAACATATATTATGTAGATTATAATGTTAGTGAAGATCAAATATGATATGTTTAATAATATAGTAATACCAGGCCATAACTGTAATCAGGATTTTCTTTAGTTTTCACGATAATAGGAAATTAAAACTCATTTTTATAACTAGCTGACCCGGCAGACTTCGTAGTGCCTCAACCGATAAATAAAAGACCTAAACTTTTGTATAAAATAAACTTAAAACAAACATCCGCCCGACGGGGTACACATCAAAGGAAAAACAAAATTGTTATTTTATTTCATTCCGAGTATTTTCATATTAATCTACCTTTTAAACCTTCTCTGGACTTCTACAAATAATTCAAGTCCAAAATTAGCCAAATCGGTCCAGCCGTTCTCGAGTTTTAGCGAGACTAACGAACAGCAATTCATTTTTATATATATAGATAGATAGATTATGCCTTATTTTCTAGGTTTCGACGGTAGTTAGCACAATATTTGAATGTCGATGAATAATGGTCGTTCGTGATGACTACGGAAAAAGAAAGTTTTTCGAAATATCAGAAATAATAGAATGAAATTAACAAAGATTAAACCATAGATGTGGTTTTCATTACATAACTGTAATTGCCTAAGAAAATTATCTAGAATTTCTTGCACGCACTTGTACTTATTGTGACAATGATCTGCACATTCAGTTAAGAATTATCAGAGCGTCACAAAGTAACGCATTGAAATGAACATTACAGAATGTTGTATAGATTTTTTTTAACATTTCTGAGTGGAACACGTTTTCTGTGAAAAAGATAATCCATACATATAAATAAAATTGGAGTGTCTGTTTGTAATATTGAAATAACCGCTTTGTATTACATGCATATACCTAAATATATATATACGGTACATACACCAAAATAACATTTTTTACAATTTTTGTCTGTCTGTTTGTTTGTTCCGGCTAATCTCTGGAACGGCTGGACCGATTTTGACGAGACTCACTGATAAGTAGCTGATGATATAAGGAGTAACATAGACTACTTTTTTTAGACTAGCTTCGCCCCGCGGCTTCTCCCGCGGTTATTGTCGTAACATCGTGGGACTCAGCTATCTACCAGCTAATCTACCCTTTCCTGATGTGAAATTGCAATAAATTCATTTAGTGATTGTCATCAAACAGATCGGGTTATTCCAAGTTTAGTGATAACTATATTGGAAAGAAATTATCATAGCACATAATATGCATTCATTACTTAAGCAAAATATAATCACTTGATATGAAACACATCAATTTGTATAAATAAGAAGCCTTTACGCTGACTAAGGAATATTGGGCGTCTACATCAATAAGAAGTCAATTTTAGCTAGTATCACGCTGCCGATAAATTTGATATCTACAACGCTAAAAGAAAATATGTAGCACTGTTAACTAGAGTACCAAAACGCTATAGATCCAATCAATACTAAAATTTATACAATATTAATTTGTAATTTGCAAACAAATAGAAGGGAAAACTTTAATTGAAATCACACTTGTCTGTTTTTGGATCGAGTTGGTATTCAAGCTGGCCTGAATATAAAATAAATATACTACTGCAGTGCTAAAAACACATAGACATGTCGAAAATTTATCCAGTTTTTTATATCCCTTAATCTGTTTAAGTATTAAAAACATATTTTGCACAATGTCGTTTGTTAACATGCATATTGTGCATATAATAACAGGAAATGGCGTAATGATAGACAGTCTTTAAATATTTAATGTGTATGAATCTTCATAATCTTGTTCTGCATCGATAGTGAGTGCCGAAGAATAAAGAATAAATATGTTACAGATTCTTGACGCCAGAACATTAAAGAATACGATCGACTCTCAACCACCACAAATTAGCTTTGTCAATAGAAATAATAAAATGACTCAGCCCATAATAAACAGATAAGCTTTAACTTTGTTAAAATAAATAGGTACTAATGTACTGTTACTAATGTAATGTACTGTAATACTGCTATTACCAACTGGCTTTTGATAGTGGTAGTTAAGATTACTGGTGGCCCGAAGGCCTTTCCAGTTTCACCAGGACAGGTGGGCGAGCAAATGCTCAGCCAGGAGGGCTGGGATTTGCTAACAACTGCCCGAGCGCCTCCGAAGAAGACCTAACAACTCAAGAGCAATTGCTTTGCGAATTAATCTACTACCGGATCGGAATCGCGACCCGCTGAGAATATCCGCCGAGAAACTCAGCACGCTAATAGTGGTAGTGGGTATTGCAAGCTCGTACGTACGTACGGGTTGGTACCACCAACCGGTCGGTTTCTGTCGCGACGAGATCAAGCGTTCCGGTTTTAAGGGTGAGAAAGCTACTATGGAACATAATTGAGACTTCGAGACCTACCTACCTTGAGACTTCGACTTTATGTCTCAAGGCGGGTGGGTGGTAGCACTATCGTGGTGATGTCTACGGTTAACTAACTGAAAACGGTGGGACGGATGCTTAAAAAACATTCCTTAATGCTACTATTTTATATAATTTACACAACTGCAGCTATACAATAAAATTTACTATGATTTTGTGTCACGGCTACTAAACGGCTATCTCCAAAATACATGAAAATAAATTTTTACCGATACTACATACTTTTCGAGACATAAAAGAACCTAGCGCTAATAATTTCTCACCGGATTGCTTATTGAACATTACGATGTGTGTTAGTTTTGAATATGACGTCAATGTCACATACGAAAAAAAAAACTATAGATTTTAGCAAAGACATTAAAATCGAATTTACCTTTGGGTTTTGTTTTTAAACGCAAACAAACGGTCTTCGATCGATTTAGCGGTGTAATAAAAAAATCGGTATGAATAAATGGTATTGCATCATCCAGTTGAAACGTGGACATAACTAAGGCTAAGGCGGATATCGGATCCGCCTTCAACATTAATTATGGGGTCCTGATAGATAGTCTTTTTGGCTGGGGGGCCTGGAAATTTTTTCGGCTTTAACAGGACTGGTGGCAGCTGAACCCTCAAGAAATGTAATCACCAAAAATGTAATGCAACCCGATTGCCATTTAAGAGTACCATTATTCACCTTATAAGATCAGCTACGAGCTACATGATTTGATAAGGTCTATGGTGCTATATGATTGCAATCTCAGCCTAAATAAAAGTTTCTCGGTAGCATAAAGAGGAAATCCAAAACCTAAGATTTTGATAAAATGGATTTTGATGCGTACGGAGAGCCAAAGCAATAAAAGTGTTGGTAAAAGTTTTGCTGGTGGTAGGACCTCTTGTGAGTCCGCGCGGGTGGGTACCACCACTCTGCCTATTTCTGCCGTAAACCAGTAATGCGTTTCGGTTTGAAGGGTGAGGCAGCCGTTGTAACTATACTTGAGA